GATACTCGATTAGCCTAACGTTATGTAAATATTAAAAGTAATATTACATACTATTGTATAAACTAAGATAATATCATGTAAAAAAGTATGGTATTTATTTATAGGATTATATAATATAATATTTATTTAGTATATTTTGATAATCTGAATATTTTAATGGCTGTAAGATATACTGCTTTGTTTTATTCTATTGAATTTGACGAGAAGTAAGTTTAAAATGCTGCTTGGATTTTATGAGTCATGTTGTTTCCTGTACAGTATAGGGTTTTGGGGACTAGCACTGCACACTTGGTCAATTTTTGTATACAATTATTTTAAAACTTATATATTGTAGCCTTACACGCATATATATTTAAATTTCTCAATAACTTTTTATCAGAATCTTTTTAAGGATTGGTAGTGGTCTTAAATCATTTTAGATATATTATGAATTTAAAGAATCTGTTATTAACATGAAAAAAAACTTGTTGATAAGCTGTGTATGTCCCCAAAAACTTACTTACCCCTTAAAATCTCCCTTAAAATTTTTTTCTGAAATAGTTTTTTTTTTGCATTGATTTAGTTTTGCGTTAACTCCTTTACATTTCTTAATAAAATAGCAATCTTATTGCAAATATTATACTATACTACCTTCATAGTATTGGAATATTAGCGTAGTAAATACCATATCATAGGATGATGTTGTATACTTAAGAAATATACTATCAAGCTATTACAGTTAGTATTGATTTGCAAGAGTATCACACTTATTGTAGAATCATTGTGTGCTATTTTATTTATGTGATATGGTGCTTTAATATATTTTATAGTTGAGTAGTGATATGATTTTTTAGAATTAATTAACTTTTACATTTATGAATACCTAAGATTGTGAAGTCAAATGATAGTGAGATAGTATTTTAAATGGCCTATTTCTACAAGCAAAACTTGGAGCATATTACAATATTAGATTTGGTAGGTTCCGAATTTTGTTACCTTATCTTTTAGAATAAAACGTATTAGCTATCTAGATATTTAAAAATACCAACCACAAATTTCAACTTTTAACGTTTTAAGTATTTAAAATCTAAAGTTCATGGTTTTTATTGGTTTTATTTTTTTTTACGGTCAGAGAAGTAATTGTAGTACCTGCTTAAACGTGGTTACTGCTTTGAACGAAAACTTCAGCAATAATATTTTCAATATATAAAAATTATCTAAAAACCTTTCAGAAATGGTACTAATTTTAACACTTAGGATATTGTTTGAAACAAATTCAAACCCTAATCATGTGTAATTAACGCATTTGGTCCAGTTTGATCATTCAATAAAGTGTTGTAGTCTCAAATCGAACCTAATCCTTAGCCGTGTGTTGTATTCATTTCCATTGGGCGAGTATAATTTGGAAACCAGTTTTGGCCACAAGGTCAACAGTACTTGCATAACTCCAATAGTTATTGGTTCAAAGTTTCTCTGTCAATAACCGTTCAATGTTTTTTCTACACTTTCTAACTGGTTGTTGAAATAAAAAAAAAATTTACCGTTTTTTGATTGGCAATCAAAACATAAAAGCCTTACAGTATGATAAATAGTTTATGTAAAAAAAGAACGCTAATTAAATTTTGGCTTGAAAATTATGTTTCACAACAAATTCAATTCCTGTACATTATAAAAATGTACTATTATAAATTTGTATTTTTATCACAGTGTATAATTGTAATCCTCATAATGTATGATTGCCCAAATTTAAAAGACCTTTGGTAAACGTTTTTTATTTATTTTTTATTGTTAAGACAATGCTATAACATTATTATTATCAAGCCATATTTGTCTAGACTTGATTGTGATAAACATATTAGAGATTCAAGACCTGTATCAACAAATTAATATTGTGAAATTTAAGTTTTTCTATAGCAAAGGAGATATTTTCACAATAAAGTATCAATAGAATTTTACACCAAATAAAACCATTGACTATATATACTCAATGATAAAACACAAACTCAATATCTTTGCTTGTAGAACTAACATGACAGGACAGATCAAGCAATAGTGTAAGAAACATATCAAAAGTGTCTAGTGATTCGCCAGATGTTGATACAAGTACATAGGACTGTTAGCCATTTTTGCAAGCATTTATAAGTTGATTGTATACAGTATCCTATTTTTGCGAGCATTTATAAGTTCATTGTGTACAATATTCAAACAAATAAACTATTTCATTTATGACAAGTTAATCGTACTGTAGTGCCATAATATACCATATTGTATTGAATTATTGTTAAGAGCACAATCGGTGTCGCTTCCATGGGTTACACTTTGTATCTATGTTGTCTTTATTGCAATAAACTATGTATTGTAAGACATGAAGCTTATTTTTATCCATAAAATTTGCATAAGACGTATAGAATATATTTATGGGTATTTTTAGGGTAGCAATTTCAAGTCATGAAGTTCAAAAGGTTATATTTACATTTATGAGTGTCATTAATCTAAACTTTAGTATCAGGGACAATATTTTAACAAATTAAATTAATTATCTTTAAAATTACCTAGGCTATAAGTTTTAAGAGTAGGTTAAGATAAAACCTTATCCTCTTAATTTTACCCAATATCCGCAAATAAATCATCTAGGAATGCATGCTAGCAAAGAGCATAAAAGGGAGTTGTCAGGAATCTTAACTACAAAGATTATATGATAAGAAGTTTGATTGTTGAAACCGGAATTAAATATTTGGAAAGCATTTTTATTCTTTCATAACATTTTGTGTTAAATAAAATTGCGAGAATTGTCTTTACCAATGGGAATATATCCCAAAAAAACTCTATTTCTTTACGTTATCGCACGGTTTGGTTGCGTTCGTCCGTATTGTTGTGCGTCACTAATGTCGGTGTGGCGTGGTTGCAGATGGCGTGGGGAGTTACGAGTGTCCGCTGTGCGACGCAGTGCTGCCCGATCTCTTGACGATACGGGCGCACATCGACGACCATTACCCGCGCGATTCCCCACTCTGTCCCGTCCCCGAATGTGGTCGACTCTTTGCGCACCCGAATTCAGTCCGAAATCACATGCGCATGAAGCATTCGCTCACGTGGGTTAAGATGAAGAGCCTGAAATGGACGTACTTGTGAAATTAGGTTTTCCGAGTTTCCTCCTTTCCGAGATACCGGTGGCCGAACTCAATCTCTGTGGACTGTATAGAATTGTATTTGTGTTAATAAATCTGTGATTTGTTGCCATTTGGTCACTTTTTTACCTAACGATTATGATTTGGTAAAAATATAGTAATTAAATGTGCACTCCTGTGTAGTAGTAGTATACCAGGTGGAATTTTTACAATTGAACAGACGGATATTGAAGGTACTTTAAAGGAGATTTTATACCAGTATTGTCAGTTTTGTTGTTGTTTTAAGTTTAAAACTAGACCTATTTAATAATTTCTCTCTCTTTTATAGAGTCTACTTTATTTGGTTGGAATGTCAGAAAGGTTTTAACAGAAATGTTTTATACCACATTGAGCCAACCCTAATTTGTATAACTTTTAGTACAATATACAATAATTAGTATAACTTCAAACCTTGTCTTATGTCAGTATGGCATTATTGTACCCATGAACATACAATATATCAAAAGCCATACAATTGTAATTTTACTTAGGATGGTTTGATTAACTGTGAAAAGCTTTGATTGCTCAGTCTGTATATTGTCCCTTAATAAAAAACGAAAATTATAATTTGATAGATCACTTGTATTTCAAAGATTGTGATTCTTAATTCATTCGTGAGAAGAATTCCTAGTAGATATCAGTGTTGTCAACAAATGACTATTTTTATAACTGATCACATAAAAGTTGTTACCTACTGCTGTAATTAGTGTTGACTTTCCTTATTTACTATTTACATGTACTTTGTTACATTGAGATAAAAAGAAAACAAATAGATAATTGAGATATAGGTTCCGAAAACAAATTGGTGTAATAGATTATAACCTATTTATGAATATCAAACTCTTTAGTAGGCCTATTGCGTTAAGATCTTAACTGTCATAATGCAAGCAGTTCTGTATTGTGCTTCTCTTAGTTAATTTATATGTTTTGATTGAATTGCCTCTAAATCTTCCCACAACCTTCAAATCCCAATGCTGAGCATCTGTAGACTTAACAATTCTGCAAAATTTGCATTCATTTTTGAGTGGTGAGTATACTTATGTGTTTTCCTAGAGTGTAATTTGTGGGTTATTCATTGTTGGTTATGGTAAATGGTGTGCAAACGATTTCCTTGATGCCTTTTTAAACAACACAATCCTACAAATTAATAAAATCATATGAATGCATGCTTTGTATGGTAGAAACAATGTCAAATTTATACGTAAAGTTCAGTAATTTATTTCTATCCTTCATTTACAAGAAGAATATTACAGTCATTCCAATCAAATTAGTATTATTTGTTTCTTGGTTATTTGGGTCTTAGGAATGGTTTTTTGGAGAAGAGATTTTTTTTAAATAACTGAAATGGAAGCAACATTAATTATTAAACCTCTTATCCTGGCAAATGTTGGGTAATGTATTTGCTTACATTTAACTTCCTTATCAAGAATAGAACATGAATATTTTTAGTGTCAAATTGGAATGTTTTAATGGATTTCGGCTTATTAAAAGTTTTAAGTCCGGAGATTCACAAAACATGACTGATATTTTCATCCCAATATAAGACTAATCAGAAAGGATATTCCAATATCCCCTTGACTCTATTCTCAGGTACCTAAGCTAACTCAACTGTACCTTTAGAAAAACCCTGAACCCTTTTTCAAAAATTTCTAAAAAGCCACTTTTTTTGTTTTTCTTTCAGATAACCTAATTTCAAGATTATTAAAAATCAAAGAAGTAACATGTGTTTTCTTCAAATCCAAAACCAAACTCAAAACCCAAGGGGTTTCGTATTAAATATTTTTAAAAGTCCTGTTAACTTGTAAGTACCTGTTGGGTTGTATTGGTGAAATAAATGTAATCTATTTGTGACAGCTCGTCGCGGCTTGGACATGATGCGAGTGCGGGCAACGGACCCGCGGCCGTGTCCCAAGTGTGGTAAGATCTACCGCAGCGCCCACACACTACGGACACACTTGGAGGACAAACACACGGTGTGTCCGGGCTACCGGTGTGTGCTGTGTGGCACCGTGGCAAAGTCACGCAACTCGCTACACTCCCACATGAGCAGACAACACCGAGGCATCAGCACCAAGGACCTGCCTGTGCTGCCGATGCCTTCGCCTTTCGACCCCGAGCTTGCCAGTCGACTACTAGCCAAGGCGGGAGTTAAGGTGAATATTTTGTGTTTTGTCCGTTGTTTGATAGTGGGGTTTAAGTTGTAGCACATGCAATTGTCTTACAAAAAGAATGCAGTAATACTTTTTATTATAACAGGTTACGTACCTTGACGTCCACAATTCCTTAGTCGGTGTATGTTGACTATAGTTTCGACTACTACGTAGTCATTATCAAAAACAGAACGTTAAAATAATTACATTCGTTGAATGTCGTCAAATCTTAAATATATCGAACACACAAACAAACATAACACGAACACGGTAGACATTTAACATAATTGGCCGGCCGGCACACGTCACTGAACTGGTCGACGACGACTCGTCGACTGAGTCGTCGTCGACCAGTTCAGTGACGTGTGCCGGCCGGCCAATTATGTTAAATGTCTACCGTGTTCGTGTTATGTTTGTTTGTGTGCTCGATATATTTAAGATTTGACGACATTCAACGAATGTAATTATTTTAACGTTCTGTTTTTGATAATGACTACGTAGTAGCCGAAACTATAGTCAACACACACCGACTAAGGAATTGTGGACGTCAAGGTACGTAACCTGTTATAATTGATTACCAATTCCGGAAGGCTTCAACATGAATATACTTTTTATGCATGGAACCATGTGTGATTTCTTTGATACGTTTGACCAAAAATCTATATAACTAGTTAAAAAACCTATTTTCTGTTAGTAGAAGTGGTTGCAAAATCAATTTTGACCACAGCAGCAGTTTGTAAGTAGTTTTTGTTGTACTCTGATTTGTTTTGCCGCTATTTTTCTGGAACGCATCTACTCAGTACAGTTAGGACTTTTAAGTACCTCGAGCAATAGCAAAATCAATGGTAGACAACATACCATGTCATGTTAAATCTCAGTGATGCATTTGGATGTGATTATGAAATATTGAAAGCAACAGCTAAAGTAAATGTATTCTAAATTGTTCTTCTTGTTTAGTTTTTAAAAGGATGTAAAGTCCCTATGATGGGTCTCGGTCTTACTCGGTAATTACTGTTGTGTTGTAAAATATATTCCTAAATCTATAAACACTTGTCATGAAATTCAGACTAAACATTTGCATTCGTTACATTTCACAACACAATTAACTTTTTTATGTGGGTAAAATAGGTTGAATAAGTTTTACCATGGATTAAAAATACTCCTCTAGTGGATTTGTCATCCTTATGGATCAACTGATGACAATTTTAGTGTTAATTCCATCTGATATGGGATTATAGGAGGAATCCATCTATAATTTAATCTATTATGGTCACATCTGGTGCTTCTAGGGGTGTGTTTTTGGTTACATTTAGTTTCTTGCATTTCAGTTTTTTGAAACCTCGTTTGGACATATAACAATATCTAATCACATACAATAGCTCGTCCCCTGTTTGATAAACTAAAAATTAAAGAAACAAACATAAAATTAACGCTTAAATAATATAAAAAATCTTAAATGCTGGTGCTCAATGTCACCAACATGAACTAGACATGAAAAACGTGCTTCCGATTTTACAATGGGATGAGTCTACTTACTTGTGGTAGTTAGTCTATGGTTTTAGCTTTTTATGATTTCGATGAAGCCTGAACATAGGTTAAATGTTTCTCGCACAGGAGGCTTTCAATGGTGTCAATGTGCAGGTGTCAGCTGCAGAGTTGAGGGCCCGAGCGTCACCTACAGGTCCGCCGCGCCGCTCTGACACTCGGCTTGATCTCAAGTCCTCCGGTAGCTCTGTGTGTGGCGGTGACGACCCTGAGGATCTGACCATTCATCACAACAGCGGCTACCCCGGCACGCCACTGTCTGCTCGCTACGGCAGTCTAGAGATGCGACCTCTCTCTCCCCCTCGTCCCCCACACCATCCCCTCTCTACACCTCCGCACGCCATCAAGGACCCTCGCGGACCTTCTACCGGGTCTGCTATACTGGACACGTATCTACAGTTTATAGGTGAGCAATTCTTACTCTTCTAAGATCACCCTGCTTTCCAAAATATCTAGTTGTAATTTCCGATAAGTCTTGTAAGTTGTCTTAAATTCATTTTCTGAATTTCAAACTATATAGCGTAGTCTTCAAGCTTTTACCTCTTAACCCTAATTTTATTCTGATCAAAGCTATTAATTTGGGTAAAAAAATTGTTCTGAAACAGGGAAATACTATGCTGTATCATTTAATCGAGTACAGATTATATATCAAATTGATTTTAAAACATGGTAGCTGCAACTGTCCTCTTTTGGCTTTAGATACTACTGTGATTAAATCCGTTTTCTTTTGGGAGAGGATGGCTTTTAAACTTTAATCCACACCTATGGCGTAACTAGAACATGGTTTTGAGGCGGTCACTCGTCGGATTCAGGAAACGGTATTTCTTGATTAAGAAGTAACACTATCAGTAAACACACGTGATTGTTTTTTACTGGCTGTCTCCGTGATTCGCTACTTATTACAGTTCCTCCAAGTTTTAGACTTGGCTTACATACCCTCCCGACAGCCCTGACACCATATCGGATAATAATACACATCATTTTACTTAATACCATCAATGTTTAATTTTAGGATTCTAGGGAGGCCTTTCCCCCTCATTCCCCCCATAGTTACGCCACTGGTCCACACAGAACATTCCTTGTTTGTTTATATTTCCTTTTAACTGCAGAATTTTCAGTTAAACTGATCGGAAGGAGCTAATCTAACGTATACTTTGGCAAAAAATACCATCTAATCTACTAACTTTAGTCAGTATTTTATACAGTGTCAACTATGAATACAAAATTTTACAAAAGACACATAGTGAAAACAAATCAATTAATGACGTGTACATTTCAACAGCTGAGAACTCGCAACTGCAACTGTCAGCTGAGCAGGCAGCCAAGATGGCCGCCAGGATGAGTGAAGAGCAGCGACGATTGGGATTGGAGGGTCTAGGCGGTCTGGGAGGACTGAACCATCGGATGATGGACCGACCAGAGGACTCGTCTGGGGGAGAGGAAGAAGAATACAGTGAGGACGAGGAGCCGGAACCTCCGGCTATAAAGGCAGAGTGACCGACGGACGCGGCAAACCAACTGCTCCACTTCTAACAAACTCAATCTCAAGTGTTTGATTTTTAACAGTGAATGAATCAAGTGTTCAAGACGATGTTTTATTCGATATTAATTTATTTTAACAGTGTGTCTATTGACTTTGTTTTACTCATCGATGATCTGATTTATACAAAGTGCAAAATATTTATGTTTTGAATACTAACTCTCCAGTTAGATTAACTGGTTTCAATGACTTTTGGTTGAAACGATTATTTAAAAACATTTTTTACTTTTTTTACAATTTATTCGGATACTCATTTTAGATGTTTCGTGTCGAGCGTGAACAATTACCGTAATTTTGTACTAGGAAGTAAATAGTTGCTTCCGATCGATCTCAAATAGATCAGGGAAAGACAAGCTGTTGCAGAATTGTCTGTGGTTATTTATATTTTGCCTATTGCCATATCAGACTACCTCGACCCCTGTATATCTACCTCATTCCTGTTCTTGAAAACAATATATATAGAGTATTTTTCTTTATACAATATATTTATGAGATATTATTTACAATAGTAGATCAACAAACTAGCAATACGAATCGTCTCACCTGTTTTTATCAGTCACTTTACAAATAGGCAGTAAGACTGATCAAAGTAGCTCAGCATTTAATAGCATTTTACACTTGGACAATTTTTACACATTTTATATTACGTTGTTGAATATATTCCGTTATTATTTTATAGTCGGGTTAAGTTTACAATGTTGTAACTAGTTTTAAGTTATTTATACTCTTACGTGAAGGTGATTTGTTTGTGAGACAAAATATATCTGTGAGAATAGCGTCGACAAAGTTATTTACCATTATTTGTTACAAATTTTAAGTTTTCATCACCATTCTACTTATCAAAAATATTATTTTCAAACTATCATTGACCATTGTTAATCAATAAACCGTTACTAGTGTGATTTGTCTTTTGTTTAACTGATAGATGGAACATTTGATCGGATAGTTTCAGTGTCATTGTCTAATCACAAACACATCACCTTCATGCCTCACATCACTCAGGTTTGATCTCACTGTGGATCCACCTCATTCCTCTACCTCGGCTTAGGCACAGAGAATCGGAGGTAATATTTTACAGGGAAAACCCTTTAAGAACTAGACACAGTGGTAAACAAGAATGTAAAGCATGCTTGTGGGGTGAATATAGGTTCGTTAAGACGTTTTGAGTGTTTTTCACTGGGTTTTTACAATACGTACATTCTGATTTAGAATTTTATCTCTTGACTCTTCTCTGTGCCTCGGCTCTCTAGTACAAGCTCTCTACCTCAATCAGCTCTCTAGTACAATCTCTCTACCTCCAGTACTTAACATGTACATATTGTTATGGGTTTGCCACTTCTCCACTTTAGAGTTTATTTTACTTGTTTTCTTTCATATTTTTATACATCGCACTCATTATTTACATCACCGACCGGGTTCAAATAATTTGGATAATTGTGTACTCCATTATGTTAAAACAATCATAGAACAGTACCTGACTTAGGACAAGTTCGGATTTATAAGGAATATTTGTGTCTAAAACAATAAATCGTTAAAAATTATCTCACGAATCAGGGTATGGTCTCAGCGTGTACAGATGTCTGTACTCGCTGGAGAATTTATTTACAGCAATATTTATAGACATTTACGCTCTCTGGAGTACAAATAGATTAGAAACCTCCATAGTACAAACGTGTCACCCAATATGCCTTGTAGCTTCCTCAATGCTTCCATTGCTTGCTTATAGTCTCAATACAGGTACTAGGTGTAGTAATGTCCTCTTGTAACCTCAAGTACAAACGGAACTCGCGTAAAGACACACTTTTCTATCATTTTAATGTAAGATAGTTTTTTTTTTCTCATTTATTCTTGTTCTTCAAACATGTTTTGTTTTTAATTATGTCAGACAGTCAATTTTTTACTTAAAGCTGATCTTTTATTTTTACTCTTATTTACCCCCTTGTTTGAATCAACTCAGGGGAAGACCTACTAAAGACAGTTTGATTAAAAGCAATACCTTCCAGTGCTGGTGTAGTACCGAGAAGACTGATTCGTAGCCTTACATTACATAGACAGTATTACTCCAGTACTGGCCCATGAGTGTGTCTTTGCGTAGGTTCAGACCATCTCTATCTCATAGTCATAGTTGTAGACAGTCTGGGGGAGCTTATCTCCCATCTCAGGTATTTGTTATCAGTCTTTTGTTGCGGGTTTTATTTACTTCATTGCGGGTCAATAGTTTATCATGTTTCTGTTACTTACAGTTTATGTTGTTGTTTTCGTTTCTGCTGGTCTAGAATGCTGGTTTTGTTGTATTGTTTTATTGTGGATGTTTATTCAGTTCAGTTTTCAGTTGATCGGCCGTTTTATGTAATACAGCTTGATAACTCAGCAGGAAGTATGAATACCAATAAAGATTTTTAATTGTTGAAGAGAATATATTTTTTATATTTTTGGGCTTATCTTAAATTTTTGAAAATGAGGTTTACCTCAGTAAAGACAAGTATTGTTTCGGAAATATCGATGTATACGTGCCAGATATTGTTTGAAAATTTATATATATGATTCCAATTAACGTTCGTTTAGTCTACATCGGTTTTACAGCTTTTTATAAAGATTGTTAATGTTTGCATACGTGTACAGTCAGTGGATGCACTAGTACAGTCTTAAGAGCTAGAACTACAGTATAATTTTTATAGCAATATAACACAAATAAGTAGATTAAATAGTGATGATACGATGTTATATGTCGAAGGTAACCGGTGTAGATAGCAGATAGCGAATAGCAGTGGTGCTTGAACATGAAAGTTGTACATATAATATGGTGCTTCGCCCTAGGTGTGCTAGCCTTGTATTTAAGTTCTAGCTAGGTTTTGGTTAGCGTTAAGTCTCTTACAATACTCTTTTGTTCCGGAATTCTTGTCTTTGTACTGAATTTTAGAGAATGTTTTTTGTAATTTGAGATTCTGTTAGAAAAAATATTTTTGAAATTTTTGTTGAATAAACATAGAGTTAGTCGTGTGTTAGAGTTGTTGTTCGAACGTCCATTTATAATAAACGTTGTTAGTTTTTTAAGCGTCCCTGGTATGGCCATCGCATCCAATGTTTCTTTAATGTTAGTGCATGCTTTTATTAATATCGTTTAGTCGGATTTATCCTAATGTTAGTCCCGTTAATTTGTTGCTTTTGTAATTATAGTTTTATCGTCGGATAGGGATAACGTTTGCGAGCTTATTTAAAATCAAATAGGAACTTAGATTCGTGTATCAGTGCCATATATTTCAATGACAATTATTGGTTTTGTGTTTTGTTCCCCGGCATGTTTATATTTTGTGGTTCCTATCGTAGTTGGCCCTTACCCCGATGGGGACCGGTGCCTTGTTGGTCGAGCACGTGTCAAATAGTTAAGAAACGTCCGCGTTTCTGTTCACAGTTCCTATATTGCTCCGTAGCGTGTCGAGTTAGCCGGCGCGGACAGTGTCTAACTTTACGTCGATAGTTGAAACATGTAAGTTGATGTTGTTAGATTGTAAGAGTAAAAATGATTATGCAAAATTTGAACGTGTTGATTAATGTTTATTGTTTTTATTTACGTTTGATAGTGTATCATTTATTGGATGTTTAATTATACTATTACTAATTATTGTAATGTTAACTTAGTATAATTTCAGAAATCAAACTCAGGTCGAGAAGCAAGATTGCAGGCAGCTTGGTCGCAGTCTCGTCCGTGTAGATGATATATTAGAGCGCTCGCTGTAGTTGCTGCCCGTCGATATAGGCCGTCCACACTCGGAAATAATATCTCTCCAATATTAGTGAACTTATTTTGTACTTAAATTAGTTATTTACCTAAAACATTTATGTATTGGTATTGTTTGCTCCATGTAAAACAGTTTTGGGTGTTTGATAGAGTTGTAAAATGTTAACTTTAAAATATAAATTCCTTTAAAAAATCTCATAGTGTTTATTTCTGATTTATAAAAATTAACTTATAATATTTACCCAAACTCATACTATTAAAAAAAAATTTATTGTAAAATTTAAACTAATTTGTATCTAAACTACAAAAAATACACAAAAGATGTTAGATAGACAAAATGAGCTTAGTAGTGTTAATAAATGTTAAATCGATAAAGGCAATGGAGCAAGCAAATCCCCGCAATAGTCTGAACAAGTTATTGTCATTATATTAGTGTTGTTTTAGGATAACAACAAAAATAGTTGGATAATATGTATCATGTGACTTTTGTAGAGATATTATTTGTACATAATACTAACAGAAATAAATACCAATATAACCGAAACATTAGTTTCATTCCACCTTGTACCAATAGCACAAAATCTAAAAGAAATATAATAAAAGCTAAAATATATAGCTGAAATTGTGTTATTTTGAGGCTGTATGTGCCTGCCTAATGTTTTGGGTTTCCCTTTCTTTATATTATTAGAAGAATTGCAATATCCTATATAATGGTGTTCAGCTTTATGATTGGTTGCAAAGAAAAATCACATGGACAACTTTTAAAACATACTTTGAAGCTTTGCTTCGGTGTCTTTTGGCTGTTCCAAATGAATGGTTTAAAACTTGGGTTTCTTTACATCACTGACCTTATTGGATAGCACCATCAGCAGTTCTTAGACCAATGACAAATGGCGACTGGATACAAAATGAATCATCAGTATCAAACTTAAAGTACTTGGGTGCCCATACCCAGGTTATGGTGATGAACTTACAGAGAGAAGTTCTTACATACTATAAAGATAAACATTTCTATACCTGTCTGGTTAATATTAAATAAAACTTGCACAGAGATCTTTAATTATTCGGTTAGTGGATTTAAAAAAAGTCTTAGTATACGCCAATATAGTCAATGCATACACCGAGTGTTAATAGCTACAAAACTGAAGTTACGAAGAAAATCGAACGGGGTACAAAATAAGAACAAATAGAAAACGTAATATATATTTCTAAAAACTATAACATCAATACATGTATAATAATACATTCTTGAACAACCAAGAAAATAATAGCTATTTAATAATTTACATGGTAAATAAATATAATACAATGGAAGCACGACATACATCACAATACCTTATTGTCATTTAATTTTCAGTCTAGTTTTCAATTTGGTAACTTGACCACGTCATTTTGTTCTAACATTTGCTGGTGTAGTGTCTGCAACAAATAAATTTACAATCGATAAAAACCATAGAACACAATACAGATTAAATGATATTCAAAGAATAAAATCATTACAGAAGATCGTCAATAATGAGGATTAATTGGGACTGAACCCCATCGAGAATATAAAATTTAAAATACCTTAATAAAGGGCCAGCATACACTATTTGGGTAAAACACTTTTTAAAATTGTATTTTTTACAATAGGTACAGTAAAGGGCCTGAAAGAGAGACGAATTGAACAAATTGTTATGTTAACACACTGTTTTTTATTAATTTATAGCAACATACTAGACACCACATATTTAAGCTTTAAAAAAATGTGTACACTGTATAGGGTTTCAAATTTGTGGTAGTGGTTCAATTTTTTTGCAGCTAAGTCCTTAATTTAATGACAGTACAAAACTTGATTTCTCGATTAACGATAAATTAAGAGATTTGTGCTAGCTTGAACTCTATTAAATAGTCAAATAGTATTAAGCCTCCGAATATTTTCTGTTTGTTACGCCACAAGATTCTCAGACTCACCATCTCTTGTCTGCGGAGTTTTCTACGGAGGTAACTGGCTACCGGGGGAGAGAAATGATCTGGGTCCAGAGGTCTGGGTATGTGTCCGCACGCCCGTGCAAGACAACTAACTAAGCAGCCGACTAGCAGTGTTACTAAACAGCTGATCACAACATACAACAAGTAGCTCAGCCTAAACATGTATTGGTAGTCCACTCTGGAAAAAGTAAAACCAATGAAACAATAATCACAGAAATACAATTGGTCAACAGTCAATGTTAACAACAGTACTGTAATAAGTACTATTAAGTACTGTAATATGAATGCAACATGTCCCTTAAATTTTCTTTAAGAGAACCCAACTTGAACTTGTAGGTTGCATACAACTTAAGGGTCAGTAAACATAATAATTATTTTTTGGTTTCAATCACAACAAAATGTCAATGCTTAAGCTTGATTATGTTACTGAACACAAATTACAGTAGAACTCCAATTATCAATAATTTAGACTGTACCATATTCAAATGGTAAAAAAATTTGGATGGTCGGATTTTTACCGAAATTGGGATTATTTTTGAGAAAATAAGCTACTTTGTCGGATATTATGAAAATTTGAATTCTAAATTATTAGTGCATAAAATAGAAATTTTTTAATTGAATCATGGTGATCTAAATGAGTTGTTTTGCCAAAAACATTAGTCGTTTGGTAGGGTGCAAGAGGTTTGATATGAATAGAGTCTAAAAAGCTTGAGTTATCAAGCACCAAGTAAAAAAATCAAGCCCAGCTTTTACAATTGCGGTTGCAGAACACAGCTGCAAAGATTTCGTTATAGAAAAATTCTTTCTTGCATCACAATCGACGGGGATGATGAAAACTTGTTCATGACCGCAGGAGACACAGATTTTTAGTGACCACAGGAGGCAATGATGTCTACCAAGAACGTGGAAGATGTTCGAGATTTTCCCATGATTGTGGAAAATAGACATTCCCATGGCAGCATTTACACGAACACAAAAGTTTTCAGGGTTTTTAAACGATCATATCTTCTGCCTTCTTTAATAGTAAATTCTTATTGCTATAATTTCAGGTTTTTAAAATTATTCCTGTAAGCGATTTAGATCATGGGAGTTCTACAGTACCATTGGAACCTACTAATGCTTTTATTTTATATTCTGTCCTAAAGAATCTATGGATTCTTTTTTGATTACACCTTATCTCTACTGCAATTTGTAAATTTTTTTAATTTCAGAGCGGTTCAAACAATGATCGTTTTACTTTCTGATTGGTTGTTAGCAAAACATCATATTTAATAACCCAGTGGTGATCCACAATTAATTGATCCTTCTTATTGTAGACTTTGTATTTGAAGGCAAGTACTTTATATAACCAATCCTCTGCTACCAAGGATTATGATCGTAAATTAAAGTTGGGTAACTTTCCTCCTCATTCTGTGCTTTTTGTACCAAGCCTTAAAACACTCCTAGATCATAATTGCAAAAGTTTTCTATGTAAAATACCGAGATATTTTTAATCCACCAAAAACCAAATATACAACTGTACTAGAATTTTACATGATAAAAACATTTATGATAAAATTTAATAAATAGAAAGCCACATTACAAAAACATTTTTAAAATCTAACACTTACGGATCGGAGGGTTGAGGAGTGACCAACGAGCTAACCGTGGTGGTAAGTACATCAGTAAGTACAACAGAGGTCGTCACATTGCAGCCAGCAGTGGACAGTGGCAGAGGGGTGGGTCGGGGTTTGGGGCCTCCAAAACCAAGCCACACCGAGGAGGTAAGGCCCAATAGCATACCAGCTAAAGCACCCTGGGGGGAAACCGTTAATTAGGATACAGAAAAGATTAACTAACCATCATTTATTTATCATTTATTATTTATTTAAGTTGCGAACAAATACTTTTGCATCACTTGAAATTGAAATGCAGATGTTCTATTAATGATGGTGCATAATTGAAGAAGTAAATTTAATATCACATTGATTAAACCAGGAATCGCTAGATATGGGTCAGATAGGATAAGTTGTTGGCCTTTGTACAAGATACTGCATAGCCACTCGTAATTTTAAACACAAATATCTGTATTCAATTTTATCCAGTGGTACAATGGTTTCAAATAAAGTAGTACAATTCTGTTTCTAAATACACTAACCGGTTCATTGGCAGGGGGCACAAACATGCCCAGAGTGAAGGTGCCCAGTAGAGGACCTCCTACAATGCCTAGGATAGACAGTCCTGCTTGTAGTAGACCTCCCAGGTACTGTGCCAGGAACGCTACCTACAACAGGTAAACACTGTTAGTGTGGAGGTGCCCAGTAGAGGACCTCCTACAATGCCTAGGATAGACAGTCCTGCTTGTAGTAGACCTCCCAGGTACTGTGCCAGGAACGCTACCTACAACAGGTAAACACTGTTAGTGTGAAGGTGCCCAGTAGAGGACCTCCTACAATGCCTAGGATAGACAGTCCTGCTTGTAGTAGACCTCCCAGGTACTGTGCCAGGAACGCTACCTACAACAGGTAAACACTGTTAGTGTGGAGGTGCCCAGTAGAGGACCTCCTACAATGCCTAGGATAGACAGTCCTGCTTGTAGTAGACCTCCCAGGTACTGTGCCAGGAACGCTACCTACAACAGGTAAACACTGTTAGTGTGGAGGTGCCCAGTAGAGGACCTCCTACAATGCCTAGGATAGACAGTCCTGCTTGTAGTAGACCTCCCAGGTACTGTGCCAGGAACGCTACCTACAACAGGTAAACACTGTTAGTGTGAAGGTGCCCAGTAGAGGACCTCCTACAATGCCCAGGATAGACAGTCCTGCTTGTAGTAGACCTCCCAGGTACTGCGCCAGGAACGCTACCTACAACAGGTAAACACTGTTAGTGTGGAGGTGCCCAGTAGAGGACCTCCTACAATGCCTAGGATAGACAGTCCTGCTTGTAGTAGACCTCCCAGGTACTGCGCCAGGAACGCTACCTACAACAGGTAAACACTGTTAGTGTGGAGGTGCCCAGTAGAGGACCTCCTACAATGCCTAGGATAGACAGTCCTGCTTGTAGTAGACCTCCCAGGTACTGCGCCGGGAACGCTACCTACAACAGGTAAACACTGTTAGTGTGGAGGTGCCCAGTAGAGGACCTCCTACAATGCCTAGGATAGACAGTCCTGCTTGTAGTAGACCTCCCAGGTACTGCGCCAGGAACGCTACCTACAACAGGTAAACACTGTTAGTGTGGAGGTGCCCAGTAGAGGACCTCCTACAATGCCTAGGATAGACAGTCCTGCTTGTAGTAGACCTCCCAGGTACTGCGCCAGGAACGTTACCTACAACAGGTAAACACTGTTAGTGTGGAGGTGCCCAGTAGAGGACCTCCTACAATGCCCAGGATAGACAGTCCTGCTTGTAGTAGACCTCCCAGGTACTGCGCCAGGAACGCTACCTACAACAGGTAAACACTGTTAGTGTGGAGGTGCCCAGTAGAGGATATCCTACAATGCCCAGGATAGACAGTCCTGCTTGTAGTAGACCTCCCAGGTACTGCGCCAGGAACGTTACCTACAACAAGTAAACACTGTTTGTGTGGAGGTGCCCAGTAGAGGACCTCCTACAATGCCTAGGATAGACAGTCCTGCTTGTAGTAGACCTCCCAGGTACTGCGCCAGGAACGCTACCTACAACAGGTAAACACTGTTAGTGTGAAGGTGCCCAGTAGAGGACCTCCTACAATGTCCAGGATAGACAGTCCTGCTTGTAGTAGACCTCCCAGGTACTGCGCCAGGAACGCTACCTACAACAGGTAAACACTGTTAGTGTGAAGGTGCCCAGTAGAGGACCTCCTACAATGTCCAGGATAGACAGTCCTGCTTGTAGTAGACCTCCCAGGTACTGCGCCAGGAACGCTACCTACAACAGGTAAACACTGTTAGTGTGAAGGTGCCCAGTAGAGGACCTCCTACAATGTCCAGGATAAACAGTCCTGCTTGTAGTAGACCTCCCAGGTACTGCGCCAGGAACGCTACCTACAACAGGTAAACACTGTTAGTGTGAAGGTGCCCAGTAGAGGACCTCCTACAATGTCCAGGATAGACAGTCCTGCTTGTAGTAGACCTCCCAGGTACTGCGCCAGGAACGCTACCTACAACAGGTAAACACTGTTAGTGTGAAGGTGCCCAGTAGAGGACCTCCTACAATGTCCAGGATAAACAGTCCTGCTTGTAGTAGACCTCCCAGGTACTGCGCCAGGAACGCTACCTACAACAGGTAAACACTGTTAGTGTGAAGGTGCCCAGTAGAGGACCTCCTACAATGCCCAGGATAAACAGTCCTGCTTGTAGTAGACCTCCCAGGTACTGCGCCAGGAACGCTACCTACAACAGGTAAACACTGTTAGTGTGGAGGTGCCCAGTAGAGGATATCCTACAATGCCCAGGATAAACAGTCCTGCTTGTAGTAGACCTCCCAGGTACTGCGCCAGGAACGCTACCTACAACAGGTAAACACTGTTAGTGTGAAGGTGCCCAGTAGAGGACCTCCTACAATGTCCAGGATAAACAGTCCTGCTTGTAGTAGACCTCCCAGGTACTGCGCCAGGAACGCTACCTACAACAGGTAAACACTGTTAGTGTGAAGGTGCCCAGTAGAGGACCTCCTACAATGTCCAGGATAGACAGTCCTGCTTGTAGTAGACCTCCCAGGTACTGCGCCAGGAACGCTACCTACAACAGGTAAACACTGTTAGTGTGAAGGTGCCCAGTAGAGGACCTCCTACAATGTCCAGGATAAACAGTCCTGCTTGTAGTAGACCTCCCAGGTACTGCGCCAGGAACGCTACCTACAACAGGTAAACACTGTTAGTGTGAAGGTGCCCAGTAGAGGACCTCCTACAATGCCCAGGATAAACAGTCCTGCTTGTAGTAGACCTCCCAGGTACTGCGCCAGGAACGCTACCTACAACAGGTAAACACTGTTAGTGTGGAGGTGCCCAGTAGAGGATATCCTACAATGCCCAGGATAAACAGTCCTGCTTGTAGTAGACCTCCCAGGTACTGCGCCAGGAACGCTACCTACAACAGGTAAACACTGTTAGTGTGAAGGTGCCCAGTAGAGGACCTCCTACAATGTCCAGGATAAACAGTCCTGCTTGTAGTAGACCTCCCAGGTACTGCGCCAGGAACGCTACCTACAACAGGTAAACACTGTTAGTGTGAAGGTGCCCAGTAGAGGACCTCCTACAATGTCCAGGATAGACAGTCCTGCTTGTAGTAGACCTCCCAGGTACTGCGCCAGGAACGCTACCTACAACAGGTAAACACTGTTTGTGTGGAGGTGCCCAGTAGAGGATATCCTACAATGCCCAGGATAGACAGTCCTGCTTGTAGTAGACCTCCTAGGTACTGTGCCAGGAACGCTACCTACAACAAGTAAACACTGTTAGTGTTAATGTACCGAAATGAAACTGTAATCCGAGGGGCCTCTTGCAATAGGATAAGATAAAACGGTTCATGGTAATATTTTTATTTTTAGTAATACAGTTGAAACTCGCGAATTCGAACCTCTATAATTAGAAATATTTGTCTGTTCCCATCAGATAACCTCTAAAATTTAACAAATAATATACCGATAATTCAAAGTGATTTTTACGCTTAATGCAGCCTCTACAATTCGAATTTGGCATACTTGAGCCTCTACAATTCGAATTTTGTTGCCGAAATTCTAACTGTTACCTCCAAAATTCCAAGTCAACCTCTACAATTCCAACTGCGTCACCTCTGTAATTCGAATTCAGGACAAAAAGTACACACGCTCTTATTGGTGTTCCCACAATGTGTTCATTAGTCCCCGTTCTCTCAAACTCTCTACACTGAAAACTGGGACCTCCATAATTCAAATTTTATTTATTCTGACCTCTATAAATCAAACTCTATATTTCAATCTTTCCATGACTCGTAATATATCGTCTTTCCTCTGAAATTCAAATTAGCGAGGTTCTACTGTAGAATTGATTTTGGTACTGTGAATTTGCATCTTTTCTGAGAGATAAAATGTGTAACTAAGTAAGAATTATAAAATAAGCTTCACTTTTTCCTTAGTGAAATCAAGAGTTTTCTACACATCGCGGGTTGCCATATTTTCCTGGAGATTAAATCTCTCTTTTTTTACCATCCACCAGAATACATAAAGAAAACAGCACTTTTGGAATAGTATGAACGTGTTTGCAAATATCGTTATGCAATGCCTGAAAAACGTCAACTGTTCTCCTTTCTAATAACATTTTTTATTCCTTGGTTTCACTGTGACTAGAAACGTCCTAAATTTATCATCTGTTTCACCGTTTCCAGTCCTTCAATTCGCACCTGCCGGCCAGTCCAAAAGCATCTGAGTGGTCACTAAGCCGAACCCACTGGTTCACTGAGCTAGAGGTACAACTGGAAGTAACATTGAATGAGATAATTGATAGCTGCTGGCTTCATTTGTACTAAGGATTCGTAATAAAGCCATGAGCCAATGATTTGGCTTATTCCCCTAGTTGGTACCAACATAACAACATTAACATTTTACAGCATCTCGATTTGCTAGCAGAGTTGTCGTGCCAGTCCTACTTCCAGTTGTATTTCTAGCTCAGTGGCCGAACTGAGTCTGGCAGACGGAAAACATTAGTGCACTCAAACTAAGGTGATGTCTCTTGGTCCGGTAGACAATACCTTTAGCCGCTCAGCAATTGATGAGAGCCTAAAGTCTATTGAACTTACAATACGAGTGAACTAAAAGTCAAAACACAGTATCTCTAAATTTCGCCTAGTTTACATCACTTTGACAATATGTTAGTTGTCAGTTATAGCTCCCAGTCTCTTTTGGGTTATGCTATTAAATCTAGCCATCAGAAAAGGTTTGGTTACGTTAATTTAGGCAACCATATATCCACCTTAAAACCAAAGGGTAAAGCAAATAAACCTTTTTTAAATCATAGAAGACAAATTCTTTTATAAAAGAACAAAAATACATACTGTGACACAAGCCACTCCGTAAGCCAGGACAAGACACTTGGTGAGAGCTGTTGTATGTGTGAGTTGCGTTTTGGGAGCAAGGCGATACAGGGGCTGCAACAATAGATAAAACAACCTGTTAAAAAAATAATAATAATTGAAGTTTATGCTGTTAGACTTATTTAGATGCCATTATTATTTTTCCAGGAATGTGTGGGTACTGCTGAACAATTATTTCAAATATTACTTTCTCCCCTTAAACGTATTAGTTTTTGAAAAAAAACTTTCAAGTTTGCATTTTGGATGGAAATATCAGTTTTGGGCCCCCCTAAACCCAAAAACGTGGTTTCCAAAGTGATGTTTGTGTGTATTGTACTATTGTATTTGTACAGACCTACAAATTACATATTATGTGGTTCGATTTTGATAAAATTTTATACTTGTGTAATTATCCATAGTATTAGAGATTTTTTTTTTTTTATTTGTATTTTACTGGTGATTTTTATAAAAATTCATAATAAATAGGTGACAAATTGGATTTTCACAAAAACGACTTGAACCATTTTGATTTAGGTAATATGTTATAGTCCTTTTAATTTTAAACCAAAATTGTACAATCCCCAATGCTGTAAGAATTACGATTCAAGTGTAATTGCAACTTTTGTGGTTTTCCCCAAATATAATAGTTACTCCCACCGCTCGCACATGATAAGGGTTGTTGACAAGCTAATGAGAGAAAGTATGTGTCAGTTTAATACCATTATTTGTCCTGTGGTAGTCCCTAAGATATTTAGGTAAATTCGGTTGGTGATACCTTAAGATAGTCTTCCATAGTAACAGCAGCCAATGAGTTGACGCAGGGAGACACACTGGACAGGGAAGCGGAGAATATTCCAGCGGCAAACAATCCCGAGAGACCAGGCACGGATCCCATCATATCCATGACAAACAGAGGCATCAGCTGGTCGAGACTCTTGATCCTGCCAGAGCTACAACACAAACACCACATACTTCTCACACTGCTTCTAAAGAAGTGGGATTGATAGTTGGGAAGTCCATATTGGCTAAGCTCTAAGCTTGCAAGAAAACTAATCACTTTGTTGATAAAATTTGGACCTTGGACAGAGGAGGTAAGTTAGCCTATTCATAAAAAGTCCAGGGGGTATAAAATGAATTGTTTTTATACCTGTACCATTGCTTATACAATATCCACCTGATTTAGAGTTATCAGATGTTCAATATTCTTTATCCTGCTAGAGCTACAACCAAAAGAATACTCCCATCTACTCTATGACAGTCAAAGGCATCAGATGTTCCATACATCATTAGAGGACTTCGATGTAGGAAGGGTAGATTTGATCCCTGAGTGTCCATAAGTTTTGAGTGGTTAGGAACACATCCCCTTTGTGCTATTTACGTTTATAAAAAATGCCACTGACAAAAATACTAACACAACAAACAAAACCCACATGACGCTGAAACCTTCTCTATGTGACAATATAATTAAGTTACCCACCTAACAGGATCGCAAGCGTAGTAGACAGAGAAGATAGACAGGCCAGCAAGTCCGCAAGCTATCAACAGAATGTAGAGAAAGGGCAGAGAGATCCACAGGGACCGGACAGCTGTCTTGTGGTCCTTCATGGTGAGGTATCTCTGAATCTGCGTCTGGTTCACTGCGTAGAGAGACAGAAAAGTGAAGCCTCCTCCAACAGCCAGTGTCCATGTTGTGTGTCTGACCGTGGGATCCGGGCTGAGACTGCGGACAGAAACATTATATTTTAAATTACTGTAGACTAGAAACTTATCATAGTGATTGCTAGTGATGTGTTAATACCAATTTTCTAAATTGATCACAATTTTATACCTAAATTAGCTACATCTAGTCCATAGATCTGAGTAAACTTTTGGCAATTGAATGAATTGACTTACTTGAAGAACTCTATCCTGCCATGCTCCTCAGCTATCCTGAAGATGGGAGCAATGCCGCCGTTCTTCCAAATTCCTACTCCAACTACACTGAACAGCGACAGGTACATCAAGCCTGACTGAAACATGAAAGAAACCACAATGGTTACAGCAAACCTAAGTTTATATATGAAAGGACCATTTTTTCTTGGGTTGGTTAGTTAAAATTTGATTGTTTCTCAACTTAAATAACTGAATGCTGTTTGAGTAGCTAATGATGCTAGGAAAAGACGACAGAAGTTAACCCTCCAGTACAAGCGCGGTTAATAGTAACACCAGTACACACACGTGGACTGACAGTCGTCATATACTTCTTACTGGAAACACTATTTTCTATTTTATCCATGTGTAAGTATGTGTTAGTGAAGGTGCAAACTTCACCTAATAAAGTTGATATAGCCTAGCATCAAATTTTCAAATAATCCAAATACAGTTAAATATATATAGATAAATTTCAAAATGATTGCAAATATTTCAAATTGAATATGTTGTGTTGAAAACCAATCAGTCAATCGCTGGACTGTTCTTCATCCTCTTGAAACATGACGTGCCTAACTTTACATCCTCGTAGCTCAGGGCCAACTGACGCTAAGACTGTCAAAACACCGCCATTGTCCTTGGAAAGGTAGTGGGGAAAGGGTAGATGGGGCGTCATGTCATTCGCTTGCAGATTTACTTATTTTGGCGCACCTTTTCAAATGTGTGGACTCTGAGTCCGCGGCGTGTGTACTGGAGGGTTAAATATTCTCAACTGTTTTTGATTATTGGGCTTTTAAATAAATGATTCTTGTTAAAGAAACAAATGGTCTAACAAATCTAACAAAGCTACACAGATCAGCTAATACCAATCTACACTAAACATGCATTATTATTCAGCTTATGCACCTAGATCACATTGCTGCAGAAGTAATGGTAATGACAGTGACAATTTTTGCTTGAATATCGATTTGAAACATTCGTTGATTTACTTTAACAATCAACAAGCAAACTGAAAGAGTAATATATTCTCTACAAAATTTTAGGTAAAGTACTGTGTTCAGCATTTAATCAATAAACTTTGATGTACATACCAATGTGTCTGCTTTAAGCCAAATCTAATGATGAAAAATGTTAAAATGGTAAATACTAGAGTAGCCTATACAAAATATGTAGACACTTTTACCATTTTGATTGCTGATGAATGATACCGATTCATGAACTTAAAACACAAATTCAAATGAAACTTATTCTAAAACATGAAATGTTGACAAAATGGCTAATTTCGTAAGGCTAAAGAGTTTACAAAACTATTGATTGTTTAGTTACAAAATTATTGATTTTAACGAACACAAATTTAAATATGTGTTACAGACAAACGCTAAACCTTGATTACGTACAACTCTGTGATAACTACTAACCTGAAACACGTCCGTCCAAATGACTGCCTTTATCCCGCCGACAGTGGAATACGCTGTGCAAACACTTCCGACCAACAAGATGGAGAAGTTGCGTGACAGACCAGTGAGAGCCTCCAAGGCGATGGCAGGAGCGTACAACACTACGCCCATGTACAGCACCATCTGGAGAGAGTAGAGTAGGGAGGCAGCCAGACGTACTCGGGGGCCGAACCTCTGCTCCAGGTACTGGCGGTAACACCATAAGTATATATAAATCACAAGTCTTAAGTAAAAACAGGACCATACCAGACATCCTTGCCCATTGCCTAAAGCATCGGTTGTCGATTGACAGTTTTTTGTGACAGGAGTAGGGATGGTAAAATATAGAAATATTGTATGCCTACTTCACTGCCTTAGAAGTAATCTCTCAAGAATAAATCAACTGGAATAAGAAATAAAAGACTAAAAAACCATGATGGCTCTCTAAATGGTTTTTATTGTTTGATAGAAGAGGTTGCCATATTGATAAGATCATCTTGAAGTTTAACACCATTTTAAATTTAAAAATTATGTCTGGAAAATATTTTTAGAGGGACTTATCATTTATGCTTGAACTGGATTAAGGTTCTGTCCCTAAAAGCTATCATAAATTTCTTACATCCCAATTGGTTTACAGTAGGCCTATTTAACTAGCAGCGCCTACCCTGCTTTGATGAAGTAACTAAATCGGCATGAAATAAACAAATACCAACCTCGTAAACAGAAGTAGCGCCCAACTTAAAGAACACAGGAAGGTAAAGATATGCTGCGACAGCCGTGAACACAACGTAACTGCCGATGATGGTGAGGAAGAGCGTTCCGAACATGTAGACTTCAGCCGTTACTCCGAGCAGGGTGATGGCTGACATGAAGCTGGCCATCAGCGACACAGCCACTGGGAGAACACTCTGGTTACGATCACCCAGCAGATATTCCTGTAACGCAGATCAGTTGACTACAACTAGTTATGTCCAGGATGGGCCTTATGTAGTATTATCCTTTAACCATCCTTAACTCAAAGTATACTGACAACAAGACCTCTTAAGTTTTGAATACTCATAAAAGAACAGAAGTATTAATACATAAAGAAATAGTATATTTCATTACAAGTACTGATAGTGGCACTTTCCGGTGCACGCTCAAGTTTCATAGGTGAGACAAAGCCGAACATAGGAACATCAAATTTCATGCGTGAGGCGAAGCCAAACACGTGAGAGTGAGTTCCACGTAGGGAGCGAAGCCTAGCTCACACACTACTGAATGACACAAGAGTAACAATGGATATACAGGAATAATTGGAGCAAGTGCTGGGAAATCACTTTTGGCACAAGTTATGAATGATACTTCTCATCACGATGCAATTATGCCTATTTCTGTTTGCAGTTTTATTGTTCAACAATGAAAACAGCTGATTTAAATTATAGAAATAAATGGGAAGGAAACAATAAAGTGCCCAGTAGGCAAACGGATAACTGATTAAAAGCAAGGGAAAGGAAGTTAAGAGCAAGAGAAACTCACCTGATTGGTTTCCTCTCGGAGCTCTAAAATTAGAGATTGGGAAACAATTATTTTCTCTGATATCAGCTGCTTTGATATCACCAAAATAAACTTTCTGTAGGAGTTATTAAAATTAAAATCACCAAACAGTGGGGTTTTACTAACTTAGTGATTGAAATCTGTTTACCAATGCTAAGGATTGACTACTTATCAAATTAACTGTCAGGAACTGTAGTGGTATATGACCTGAGTTGTTTTCTGTTTTCCACCAGAACACCTGAAGTATATTCCAATGCTGAGTGAGGTGAGCAAAGTTACACAGAGAACAGCGTAGTCCCATATTCCGATCGTCCTCTGCACTGGTACCATTGAAAACTGGAAACAAATCATCATATTAACAGTTGTCTGGTTCAGTGTATCCACAAGAACAAAACAAAATCCCGCTTACCCAATCGAGAAAATTCTGTTTTATCCCGCTTTAATACAAATATTTTTTAGATCACTTGAAAACAGGAGTTCCCAATCTCCCAAAACGTAGTCAAAACAATTAGCATTAGTAAAAGTCAATTTTAAATATCTAAAATCAAAGAGACTGAGGAAACGGTTACGAAACCTGATTTAGCCTATAACAAAAAAGTTTTGGCTCGCTTTTAATTTGGTTCAAACTGATCAGAGTGTACTTGATAAAATTTTTTTTTTTTAAGTATATTTTACCATTTCAAAAACTAGCTCTAGTATTGACAATCATAATTTTATCAGCGTCTTAAGTTATGTTAAAGAAAAACATTAGCTTATTAACATACACTGATTTTGTTACAAAATTTTACTTGATTCTATTTCAAAGTATATACACAATTAAAAAAAAAACAAGAAATACAAGTAAAACTTAAGATGCATACCTTATATTTTAAAACTAAAACAAAACTATTCAAAAACAAAAAGAATGAATCTAAGTGTTAGGCCTAGCTTCACAAGAGAGTAAGCATACTACTGAACACACAAGTGTAACAATGGATATAGACACTTGTCAATTAGGCTTTAGTGACATTCCTTTGTTTATGTAGAATGCTGAGTGGTAGAGAATAATTTGACCTTTCACCCAGACAATTTAAGAATATACACTTGCAGTTTTTGGCCTGTCAATGGTTATTATGGTAGGCATATTATTGGGATAATTAAATTGATAATGTTTATTCAAAATGTAAGAGAACAAACATAAAAAACAGAACATAATTAAAACTATTGTAATATGATTAATAATTGTAGTTATAATAAAGTTCATGAAACAATAGTTCCCAACTACAAAAGAAACTTGGATTCATTTTTCTAAATTGTCAAAACCTTAAATGATAATAATTTCAATTTTGTTTTAGCTTATGATACATTGAGTTAATTACTTAAAGTTACAATTTGGAACTTAACCTATGCAATAAATGTTTGCTAAATTTGAAATTAGCTACCTACCACGTTTAAAAAAGTTATTTTCAACTGTCACAATAATGATTTGTGTGGGTAACTAACTCTAAGAATTAAAAAAAAATTCAATTACAAGTTTTAGAACATCACAGTGTCTTATTCTAACAACTAAGATAAGAAATGCAAATAGTATTATTGGTAATAAAGATAAAGGTAATGTGATGATAGGTTTACACCAACCTGAAGATTAGTAAACAAGTATTATTTTTCGCTGAGCAGTACTTATTTTGGTGTACCGGTAGTTAATTAAAAATATCTAAGTATAAATGAAAAAATACTCAGGCTATCCAAAATAACTTTTAATATAATGTTTGCCATGTGTGAAGGTGAAAATACAAAATGGCTTATTAATACAGTTTACAGCACACGGTTAGTGTAATCCAATCTCCTTTTACAATTTATTATTTTCACTGAGAACTAACTAAATAACAAACAAGGGGGGCAAAATGCAGATGTATAATGAAGAAACCTGATGTAATCTGTCTGGTGTTGAATTGTGTTGAAGTTGTGTTTGTTTTGTGGAACAGTTTCCTCCGTAGCTGCTTTTGTTGTGAAATCCATACCAACTTAACATAAATACAAGTCGCTTTCAATTGCAGAAAAAAATAAGTGACGAATGCAGTAGAAAGTGTTGAGTGAAGTTAGAAGTATTGAAAACTTTTCAATCAGGTCTCTACCCTTAACCCATTGGCCTTGTATCACGGAGACACACTCTTGGTTTAAAATATGACGTTAATGACAGAGACTCCAGAGTATAACTTAAAATAAGCTTTTTTAAATTCCGTAATTAAAAATTGTTATGCTTAGGTGTTTCATTTTAATTTAGGCCTACATATGTGAAAACAAACCATTTGTAATTTTAATAGTTTCTTTTTCTCCCAACAAATCAAACCTCTTGATAATTCAAAACTCTTGATAAGTTTCGTGGTGCAGGGGGGCCCGCAAGCTAGGGGGGCCCGTGAGCCTTGACTGGAATTTTTGTGGAAACTTTACCTGGACACAGGTCCCCAATTATGCGACAGGCTCAGCCACACGGGCCCCCTATCATCAATATTTATATGAGATTTACGATTTACCATACATTTTTTATGGCTTCACTTTAGATTGGTTTACTTCGCACTTAAGATTTGTTTACTTCGAGTCAGGTAAAAAATGTTACTGTACCTATGGGCCACGGACCAAATCAAGATCGGTTTTTTTGGAACGCAGAGGATACGCGTCCGGTAACCGGACGTGGATTAGGCGTCCGGCAGTTACTGTCATAACCTAACCTAACCAACCAAACTTGCTGATAGTGAAAAAAATCAAATGAAGGTTCAATTCTCATCATAACATAAAATTATAAATGCCAAAAATTCTAACAAAAGATGTACAGTTAAGAAGAAATTACATTCAAAGAAAAATCTGAGACAAAAAGTTAAAGTTACCGATAGGTTTCAAACCGGGGACCTCTCGCATATCAGTCGAGCACTCTATCCACTACACCACGAACACTGATGGCTGAACATCGTATCATTGTGGTAATGGCGTTCCGGGACCCCCTACCGGACGCCTAATCCACGTCTGGTTACCGGACGCCTAATCCACGTCCGGTTACCGGACGCGTATCCTCTGTGTTTTTGGAAACTGTTGATTTTTATATAGGCCTAATGTTGATTTTCGAGCCGAGCAGAGCCTAGGGCCTACAAGCTTGAGAGATCAAGCACAAAGTCAGAATATCAAGCTCGAGCCTATTTTTTCAGTACTCAATGCAATAATGCACAATTAATTAAAGGTAAAAGCTTTTATATAGGCGAGGATCACGCTGACGAAATTGAACGATTAGGCCTACGCTTTTGCTGTGATCGCAGATATCGACGAGAACATTTCACCGCGGAGATGTAAATATTTTGCTGTGATTGCGGAAGACGATAATGACGTTTGATTTCCCCATCACGGGAGATATTAGGGATTTGGCCATGAACGCGTGAGATGATGATGTTGTTATCTGATAATGTCATAGGTTTGGTTGCAATCACGGTAGACTATGATAATGTTTCTTCCATGACTAAGTTACGGGAAGTATTCACGATTTTGCCGCAATCATGGAAGGATGATGCTTCCATGCCTCAGGAGATGCCGTGCCAAGCTAATGTTAAAGCTTAGGGGGAAATACCAATCTCCCTAAGAAGAATCCCCCTGGAAGAGGGGGGCCTGGCTAACAAACTTGCGGGGGGGCCCGCAGGCTCTTATCGCCGCCACTGATCATCAGACGTTTAATAGCTCAGACGTATTTAAAGCTGATGTTACGCCCAAGAATTTTTAATTGAAACACAATATTTTATCAAAATTTTCACTGTTGAATTGATTGTTACAAACAATACTTAAAATATAAATACACTCATTTAAATAATAAAAAGACTACTTTCCAACCCCAAATAGGTTAGCCTACGTCTGTCAGGCATCCGAAAATCCAAAAATATCTGTGGGAATAATCTGAAATTGACTGACGGACGGCGGCAGAGCCACTGACGGAACTGCAACGGCTGAGTGTAGATAGCGCAATAGAAAATACATTGAAGAATATTTTTGTTAACTGTGACGTGCCTGAAGTGACTGTACTGTGCCGTAACTGATATGTGTGAATCGACCTTTAGGGAATATTTTTGTTGACTGGGACGTGACTGATATGACTGACCTGTGACATGCAGTAACTGATACATGTGAATCGACCAGGCGGTTAACTTATATTTGTTAAATGTACCTAATTTGTTAAATGTGTGTAGTACTTATAGGTCTACATTAAACATAAATACTCACGTTTAAATTTGGAGAATCACTTTAAAATCAAAATGTGAAAGCTACAAACATTTTAGGTTTCATCACTATCAAGTAGGTACCTAATCCTTATAAGCCTAGTTAACTTAGACCCACCCATAAAGTGAGATAAGATTAACAGTCAGTCAATTAAATGTAAATTAATGTTAAATAACTTGTATAATAATAATACACTATAAAAGTATACTTATGCCTTAAACGCTACGTAATTTTCTGAAAAACATTATTTACTTGTGAATAGAATAACGACAATCCTAACCTAAAACTTTCACGAATAGGAATGGAATGAATAGTCCAGTCAGCTGACTAGCTTTTTGAATGCAGAATACATGCTCAGCTGATCGTGTTTATTTCAGTGTGAACCAACAGCTGGTTTTAATAGCTGGCACAACAGCTGGAATTCCCTTAATAGGGAAGTGAAGTAGCTATTCCGTAGGAGGCACGGTAAGACTTGACCCGGGACCGATTTACTTTTTCATTTTGATGTCCCCAGAGGCCAAAATCACCATTCGTTCAAATTTAAATATATGTGTATATATATATATATATAGGGTGTCCCACGAAGGGGTTTAAACGTTTGATTTTATATTACACGCCCATTCATGTACCGAACTTTTAGCGAATTTCTCTATAGGGAAGTAGCTATTACTGTAGGTGGCACGGTAAGACCTAGACCCGGGTCCGATTTGCTTTTTCATTTTGATGTCCCCAGAGGCCAGAAACGCCATTCGTTTAAATTTTTATATATGTATATATATATAAAATAGACTTATATATATATATACGTCCGTGAACGCGATAACTTGAGTAATTTTTGTCCGATTTTGATGAAATTTGGTTTAAAGGTGTAAAGCGGGATAAACTTAAATGAGTTCGCGAACCAGCACGATCGGACCATGGGAACAGGGCTTTACGGGGGGCTTTACGGGGGGTTTTATGGGGTAAAAATTGGTTTTTCTCACTTTTGACCCTCAAAACACAAAATTTCCCGATTTCTCTTAAGACCTTTTTAAAGAGCTTAAAAAAACAAATATTTTAGTACATAACAGTATTTTTGTTCGATTATTAGTAACGGAGAAAATTAAAAAAATTGTAAATTTAAAATTCCCATGTTATTCTTATGGAGAATATTGTCAAACGTTGTAGTTTGCTTGTTTATGGATATATTTTGATCAAACTTGGCAAATTTATTTATTTTGTACTAAGCTATCAATATTTTACTCAAAAACACACTTTATTAGTTTCCTTTGTAGCAGGAAACCTAGGTACTCGTTAAACCTAATGTTATTAAAATATATTTAACTGAAAATCAATTCAGACAAATGGAAATTCGCTTAGTCGGCAGGTTTGCTGCGGCGGGGGTATTTGAAACTTTACACAGTTTACAAAGTAGGTTCTTAAAATATTCTGGAAAAATTTGAACTCCCTAACCTTAGTAGAAACAAAATAGCGGCATTGAAAAACATTACTTTAAAAAGATTAAAAAAGGTATTTTTGGTTTTATAAAATATTTTTACTGTTACTTTCCAGGGCAATATGACTTTTAAATAAAAAAAAACTAGAACGTAGCCTAATGGAAAACTAAAAATAAATCAAATAACTAATAAATTATAATAATAAATAAATAAATAATAATAAATCATTAAAGCAGTTTTTATAGAAAGCACATTGGTAAATTTGTCAATATGCCACCATTTTGTTTCTACTAAGGTTAGGGAGTTGAAATTTTTCCAGAATATTTTTAGAACCTACTTCGTAAACTGTGTACAGTTTAAAAAAGTTCGGTGCATGAATGGGCACGTAATATAAAATCAAACGTTTAAACCCCTTCGTGGGACACCCGGTATATATACATATATAGGTATAATATACCTATTATGTCCGTGAACCTGATAACTTGAGTACCTACCTAATTTTTGTCCGATTTTGATTAAATTTGTTTTGAAGGTGTAAGGCGGGATAAACTTGAATGAGTTAGGGAAACAGCATGATCGGACTATGGGAATGGGGTTTTATGAGGTAAAAATTGATTTTTCTGACGCTTTTGATTATTGACGCTGAAAACATAAAATTTCCCAAAAAAAACAGCATATAATTCAGTATATCAAAGTGTTTTTGTACGGTTATATTGGTTACGGAGAAATTCAAAAAATTGTAAATTAAAATTCCCATGTTATTCTTATGGAGAATATTGTCAAATGTTGTAGTTTGCTTGTTTATGGATATATTTTGATCAAACTTGGCAAATTTATTGATTTTATACTAAGCTATAATTATTTTACTTAAAAACACACTTTATTGGTTTCCTTGTAGCAGCAAACCTAGGTACTCGTTAAACCTAATATGTTATTTAAATACATTAATTGAAAATCATTTTAAGCAAATGGAAATTCGCTTAGTGTAATATATTTCAATAATACCTGGCTTATAATTTATAATATTAACAATTATCTAAAACATCTGTAAAATGTTTATGTTTACATCCTTCTATGATAATAAATATACAGTTTTGTTCTAACATTTAAAGAATCACTTTTATTACTGAAATTTGTTTTAGTGGCGACGAGGACGGGATTTTTAATGACTCATACACTTTTCTACAGGATAAACATTGAAATTAACATACTATCATGACTGAAGACCTTTCAACAATTTTATCAACGTTTGTTCAACAACAGGCTATACTTTTGAATAAGTTTAATGAAATCACACAAACCCATGCACAGAATCCAAAACCTTCAACATCCCAGAACGGTATCACATCATTCAATTTCAATTCATTTGATGAAAATCTTGAAGATTTCAATTCATATAGACAACAACTTGAAAATTACTTTCATTTGAAAAACATTACAGGAAACGAAGATGAAGTACAACAAATCAAAGCAAGAATATCGATCAATTGTATTGGACCAAAACATTATCAACTACTAGGAAGTCTTGTATCTCCAGACCTACCATCAAACAAAAGCTACGACGAACTGATTAAAATAGCTGAAAAACATTTATGTCCAAAACACAATGTTTTTGTGCAACAACATAATTTTCTATCACGAGTTCAATGTCCGACAGAGTCCATATTTGAGTTTGTAGCTGCACTAAGAAGACTTACATTCACATGCAATTTCAACTGCCCTTCTTGTGAATCTTCAGTGGTCGAATTGTTTTTACGAGCACAATTCATTCGAGGATTACGAGATGAAACAATCAGTGAAAAGATTCTTCAGCATCCAGAATTGACTTTTGAAGGTGCGTATGAACAGGCTCTGACTCTTGAAGCATCAAAAAAAAGGTTGCAAAACATTTCATGGAACTGATTCAATAAATAAAGTTTCTAGAGTTTTTCGTACAAAAAACTATGATTGTGATAGGCCTAACACATCAGCAAAACAAATTCAAAATAATCGTAAGAAGTTTTATGAGCGCCTTGGAATTGCAGGACTATGTGTGCGTTGTGGTGAGAGTAACCACTTAGCAAAATCGTGCGACAGGGACATTAACACCTTATTTTGTAGTTTATGCCATAAGCGTGGTCATATCTCTAAAGTTTGCATATCAACCTTAACAAGATCAAATCATCGCAAGGTAATTATCTAACAATTATCTAAAACATCTGTAAAATGTTTATGTTTACATTCTTCTATGATAATAAATATACAGTTTTGTTCTAACATTTAAAAAATCACTTTTATTACTGAAATATGTTTTACTTAGACAGCAGGTTTGCTGCGGCGGGGGTGTTATTATCAGAAATGTGCGTGAACGGTAAAATAGTGACGTTCTCTACCTTAAGATATCAGAATCAGAATCGTTTTATTGCCATAATAAATAATACAAAAATATACAGGGCAAAAGTCACTAAAACTAAACAAGTAAAATCAGACCCAAACGATAAAAACTTTTTACTTTTAATTTGTATAATATGTAATTTAACAAATTCTTTAAAAACATTTATTAAATGAAATGATATGATTGTTTATGACCATTTTATTCCCTACATGCAAAATTAGTTACATCACCCTTACAGTTTAGTTTTTTTTTTTTTTTGTCCTAGGACGCTAGACACGAGCCCAGAATTGTTTTCACATTACTTCAGGCTAGTAGACCTAGGGGTTGCGGCACTATCACTTAGATAAAATCCATTGGTGATTTGGCAGGATTTGAACCCCTGGAACCGGAGTCCCGCGCTCTAACCACTAGACCAGCTCGCTCCCCATTACAGGTTACAGTGGTAAATATAAGTAATTGTACATTACAGTGGTAATATTGGGCTAAAAAGTTCTCCAGAATAGAGTTCCTATTCCCAATCAATCAATCAATAGACTAAGATGCAGGGGCGGGTTTGATTCCCAGCACACCACAAATGATGGGTTCTGACCGCATTCCCAAAAGCGTTTGTGTACCTCCTCGAAAAATGCCACAAACAATAAAAAAATCTTTAAGACAGTGTACACACACTTGGTTGTCCATGTAAAACCTGTGGTGTTATAAAATCACTGATAGGAAATAGTGATTACCAATTGGCTATAGTGATTGCTTTCTATCTGAAGGTAGCCGATTCGATTCCAAGAAGGATCGATTCTGTACCCAAATGCCAGTTAGTTATAGTTAGTCCATGTATTCATCAATTAATGTTGTTATGTTATCTAGCAAAAAGGTTGACGCCAAAAAGTAAAAAGACCAGGATTTTAACCCTCCCCTTCCAAAAACTTAAAAAATGCCAATGACATAAAACCCCCTACAAATATAAAAACTAAAAATGACAATAATATAATTAAAGATCAAAACCTCTTTAGAACTTAATCCATTCGTACAAGCTAATGCGGATTAAACAGCTTAGGTACCATATTTACTCAGGCTTAATTACTCACCTATTTCCTAAAAAAGATAGAAATCTTCAAACACTTGAAGCTCAATTAGATCGTAGAAGCACAAATTGTATCATTACCTACTAGCACTAGATTACTTTGCCAGAAGGCTGTGCCCATGACCAAACAATTATAGGCATAATGAAACTGAAAGTTCCCCCCACTTATCTTGATACTGATTCAATACCAACACTCAATGATACCAGTATTGAAAACAAGCTCACATCTACAAGGTTGTTTCAACCTTACACTAGAGCTTTATCAGTTACTTAATCCATGAATTAATTTGATATTTAGGTAATTATGTGTTGTGAAATAAGTTTGCAAGTTTCATATTTGGTAAGATTTGAATAATGAAGATTATATTTGAGTAATTCCAATATTCATCTATTTAATGAGTTAATTTTGGTTGAAGTTTAGAATCCATTGAGTTGAAAAGAAATATTTGCTCAATATGTTTATTTTCTTAGGATTTATTAACTAGTTGTTTTATTAGTAAAGTAAGCCTGTCAAATCTCTATCATATTTGGAAAATAATTTGATTTTATGATGCAATGACATCGCTTTAGATGTCCTAAAAATTATTAGAGCTGATCTGTTTATTGATATTTATGAACAATTTGACTTTTCATAGTTCATACATGAAATCATACAGAGTTTTTTTTTAGGGAGGAACCAAATAATAAACACAGTCAAAATTAATATAAATTTATTTAATTTTTTTTATTAGAGTGCAACATTAAACTGTTTACAGTATACCAATATTTTGTGTTGAAATGTTGAAATTAAATATTGATTTCATATGTAGTTATATAACATTGAAAACTTATTTGAGTACATGTTTAAGGACACCAACAAAATAACTTTTAGAAACATAGAAATAGGCCTATTATAAGTTTAATATCTTAGAAACAAAAATAAAAATGTTTGCTATAAAAATATATTTAGTTACTCAATAAAACAAAATATAATACATTCATTAGTTAAAAGTAGCGAGCAAGATGACAATACTACATGTTATGATAAGACAATGCTTGTTCAAAACCACGATGCATTGGATAAGTAACTGATGTATTGGACATGGTAACTTGATTAGATTATTGCTTATTTCCAGTCGTATGTCCAGTTCAGTTTGCCGCCAAGAGTCCTGGCTCGTCCACGGTGTCTTGACGGAAGGATTCCACATCAGCCTGACTGTCTGCTGTAAGTAGTTTACCCTTCAAGGTTTCAGGCTAAAAAATACAAAGACATTCATTGAACAAAATAAAATAAATCAAGAGTTTTATTATCAGACTACGAGTTAAATTAAGGGGAACAATTGGACGAATGCAGTGGTGGACAAATAGTCTAATCGGTAGCTCGTAGGGTAATTTTGGGTAACTCACTGCTACCCTCAATTTGACGGACAACATTTTAAAAGCATATTGATCTTGGCAAAATTGTTTCTTCTTTTTGAAAAGATCAATATAGAAGATTTCTCAACTTGAGTTGTAAAAAAATTCACTAAAGATCAGCATGCTGCAATTTCGAAATTATGGTTTTAAAAATGAACTTTCTATAAGAACACTTCCACAAATGGAATTTGAACATTTAGTCTGTAGCCCCACCCTCTTCTCAAGAAATTTACATTTGCCGATTTTGTTTAGCTTCTCCATCTATTTTTATTGAATTAATGCTGTATTGAATATTTTGGGTTAAAATACGCACATAGTAGCGTCCCCATCTTAAATAATTGATTGATTGATTGATATGTTTGAATGGAATAAATGTGCATGTTTTGTATATTTTATGACCTTGTTTTCTGTAGTAACTCACTATAATATTTATAATGGCTCTCTGCCTCAAAAGTTTGGCAACCATTTGAATGGTCAGAGACTTAATATGTTTACTTAGTAAGAAGTTGTTTTGTATCCATACCTTAGGAAAAGGGTTCACTTTATTGTTCCATTAATATTATTTACTTGGCAGAGCTATTTATTTACCTTGGGGTGCATCAGGATGAACGGTAACTCAGCTGAAACTTCTCCTCCGAGAGCTCCTAGGAAGAGCTTCACCTTCACAGAGTATGAGACGACAATGCCAAACGCATCTTTATGATCAGCTGTGGCTAGCCTGGAATTCATATGAGACACTCTTATCACTTTTTTACAGGTCTAGAATTTTTGAGAAATTTGAGAGATCAAAAAAATCTTGTTATTTCGAGCGAGATTGACTTTGCTCCAAGACTTTTTTGAGACGAGAAAAAAAATTTAGAACGCCTTCGCAAAGGAAATGCAACATCAACGCTTTTCTGTATTGCGGGTATTGCAAAAATTTTATGAAGGCGTTTTTAAGAAGAAAAAAGAATCTCGTCCCAAACTTAAAATCCATGCTTGTCCATCCCTACTTTTTAATCTGGTTTTTATTTTTAATGTGTTTTTTTTTATAGCTTTCTAAAAATAATCCAGACTTATTGGTATAGATTTTGAAAAGAATTTGATAGAAGGGTGTACTAAAAAGAAATAACTATATTTCTGAGATTTTGCTATTAAGGAACCAAATGTATGAGGGAATCAAAGAAGATTTTTAAGTAGATGTTGGATTATTTCTTCCTCTGAGAAATATTAAAGGAAGATTAAATAGTTTTGAAAAATCTGAATTAACAGATTAGCAGATTATTTAGCATTGAATTTGGATGTTCACATAGGCCTCAGGCTTGTGAAACATATCCAGCAAAACAATGGGTGAGTCAGTAACACAGGAACTGTAGAGATAAAATTTAGCAGTGAGCATTAGGACTTGAACTCTCACATATCTGCCATGGATTCGTAACCCATTGCGCTAACGACTGAGCCACCAACTCGCCAAACTAGGTGTACAACTCAAACTGTTTAAAAAAAATAATACTAACAGGGTTGAGGAGGCAAGGTTTGTGTCCTCGGACTTCAGTTGTCCGTCAAGTGCTACTCCACGACGATCCTTGTTGGATTCTAACATCGGAGTCAGGTACATAATCTTCTGTAGAGAGGAACCAGGCTGAATAGGACAACCTTCCCTGCAACAGAATACTTGATTTACATTGTGCTCATAAAAACTGACACTATTTTTTAGCTTAGCGTAACCTGTACGAGGGCCTCAAACTGGTACATCCTAGATATATAAAGGTAATAAGGATCACAAACTGTTGAGGAAACCATAGGCCCCACACCTATCACCGACAGTTGAATGAAAGCTCTTGATGTAACACTTCTCCAGAAAATATCAGTTTTTCGATAAAACCTCTCCTAAGGGCAACTGTTTTTGACAGAAGATTTAGATCCACATCATTCTCCCCAAGTATTCTTTCTCCATTGCAAAGCATACAACAGCTAGTGTACGTTTAAAAGTAAAATTTTGTAGGAAAAAAACTTAAAAACCAATTTTTGTGTTGTGAAAATCTTCAAACCATTCTCTTTATAGTCGCATAGGGTTGGTATGCTAATTTTATGCTAAATTAATTGTCTTTGCTATACATGTTTTATCCAAATTTTGCCAAAATATGATTTTTTTCTTTTTGGGAGTTGTGTTGATGAACACACATTCAAACAAATTTGTTTGAATGGTGTATTTGGCTTTTAGAAACCTTAAAATAAAAAAAGAAGTGGCTAAGGACCTAATTCTTACAATGGAGACTACAGTTATAGTTACTTCCCCAAAGAAACATTCGCTAAAGAAAGACTAATCACTTACTGAGTCTCCAGGCTTGCCACGGACGTACGGTATTGTCCGTTCTGGAACAGCACGACATCAATACCTTGTTGTACCATCGCCTTGATCTTCTTCACCACTTTGTTGCTGTTGTTGCGAATACAGATGTTCACTGCAACTCTTTCCCCATGATGGTACAGCTGGAAAACATGAAAAGTTAAACTTGCATCAACTAAAGTGTAATTTTCTTCAATCTACACATGGTAAACCTGGTAAAAATTAGTCTCATGCACTCTTCTTTTTTATGTCCCACTTTCACTTACTAGGGCAATAAGATCCAGCTCCTTACTCATCCTAGGCCTAGAGAGTTGAGGCACTATCACTAAAAAACTAAGATAAAATCTATTGATGATTGGCAAGGTTTGAACCCGGGACTTTGCGGACCAAAGTTACGCGATCTACCACTAGAACAGCTCCTTTCCAGCTTGTCTCACACACCACTGGAATAGTTAATTACCTACAGTACTTATTGTTGAAACAGCTGAACCTGAAGTTGATTCATTTTGTTCAACATATTTAATTCATTACTAAATCAGAGACTTTGTTTGTGTGTGTTTCTACGCCGGAATTTTTTACGTTTGAAAGGGAACTGTCCAAACCCTGGTCTTGTTACTACCTAACGTCGACCTTTTTGTTAGATAGCATCATTAATCCATAGCACAATAACATCTGGTATCTGGGTCTGGAAACAAACTCGCTTGGAACTGAACCAGCGACCTTGAGATTTTAAGGTAAACACTGCAACCACTTGGCTACCCAGACAAACACTGGACTGGTAGTCTAAAAGTTGTGTTAAAATTTGAGCACTAGCACATAAAAACTTTACTAAATTTTTAAAAGAAAAGTTACATCACTTAAATCAGTGTTGCCAACCTGTTTGTCCAGAGTCACTTCCAGCTCCAGTTCTCCAGGGCTGAGGAGGAAGTCTTTCCTGACGACAGTGCAAGGTTGGCGACCCTGCTTGGATGGAGCATACTGCACTTTGCGGAAGGCTAGAGCAACTGTACTCCTGCAAAACAGATCGTTCTACATTAGGTTTTTTGAGAGATATTTAAAAGACTGTCACTTATTTACTTGTTCATTAAAAATTTTAAAAAAAGTTTTAGAACTTGGATTACATTTAAAAACCTTTATAAAGTAAACCACCATATTATGTTGCAAGAAAGATCTGAAAGTCGCCGGTTCGACCCTGAGAAAAGTCATTAGTTTTTGACCGTTCAAAAATATACCCAGCTGGGCTTTTTTGATTAACGATCCTGACTATAGAAACACCTCTGTAATAAAGCATCTCCCATTCATCCAACATTTATCTTCCATTGTTGTTGGATTAAAATAAGCCTTCATAGAGTTCCCATTAAATTAGTGATCTACATCGTCATGAGTTACGGAAGTGATTGCTAAAATATTCAGTATTATTTATTCACTACTAGTCTTAAGGCATTTATTTGTAAATGTTTTAAAGTGATGATACCTGCTGATACCCAAAGGCAATGGTGGTTAATTGTGGTTAATTGTGGTAATTGTTAATAAAATTGAACATTTTGTACCTGCGATGTGAGCGATCGGTCTCGTTCTCTCCCACAAAGATCTTGACGTAGAATTGAACCCCGCATGGCTCTCCTTGATCTTCCGGTCCTGGCTGGAGTATCACTGACGCTGGAGCACTTGGGGAGATGGTGAACTTGAACGGAAAGGCGTTTGGGCCGAGCTTCTTGAGCAGTCGTTCCTGTGCCCAATCAGAAAATAAGTTTAGATTAAAAACAAAAGATAATTTAGATTAAAACTTACAAATGATCTCAACATTTTAAAAAAGATAATTTTAATAAAATTTTTAAAACAAATGATTTTTTGTACAAAAGCATTTTATTATTTTTGTTAATAAGACAGTTTAAATTATAATCTCAAAGTATATTAAGAATAGTATTATATTGTCAATTATCAAAGTCAAAATAAGAATAGTCAATTTCAGTACAACATTTCCATCACTATTTATTTACTCATTCTTTAACATTATTAAAAACATGTGACATTTAATATTAACAAATAAGTTATAGCACAAATATAAAGATTAGATTAATCAATGGTCATACATATATGAAATTAGTCATTAACAAATAGTACTGCATATATTCATGGTGGAAGGAAAAACATAGGTGTGCTATTCCCACATATTCTGACGTCACTCGGATTGCAAAAAAAAGATTACCTGATTGTAACTGTCAAATTAGTATGTATTTGTTTTGATTTGAGTGTTATTGTTTTTATAATAATAAAAACAATAACAACCAAATCAAAACAAATACATATACTAATTTGACAGTTACAATCAGGTGATCTTTTGTTTGCAATCCGAGTGACGTCAGAATATGTGGGAATAGCACACCTATGTGTTTTCCTTCCACCATGGCATATATTTGATGGGATTTACTTTTTTGTTCTATGAGTTTAGTAAAAATAATATATCGGATTGGTGATTTGATTTACGCTGCATAAATATTAGCATGTTTATAAGACAGTCCATTAAGGATTTGATATGCTAAGGGATCCACAAATTTCATAGCATGGTGTACTATTGCTTAGTTGTATTTCAAGTGTTACACTTGTCTATGTAATTAATTAACATTGGCGTTCAGTGAGCTAAACAAAATCTGACTTCAGCATTGGCAATCAAATACAATTATTACACAATACGTACCTCAACAGTCGTCAAAACTCAAAATACCATGCAGTCTGTAACTTGAAAATGAACATATGTATCAATATAACACTTTCCGTACAACTCTAATTTTAGTTCCCTTTATAACTAAAATCTGTATTTTCTAGATCTTCACCTGTAGTTTTGTAAGGTTGTCCTCTCGCTTTTCCGGGGGAGGATAGATCATCTCGGAAGCTAGGTAGAGATCTTTCTGGAAGTTGAGTCCCATGACTTCATCCTCCTCTCGGCCGTAACGGAAGCTGCACACAACTTGGCCGAAGACTTTGCGGTCCCTGAGGTAGTCATCATCTACTACGATCACTCCATCTGAAATAACGTATATATTGTATATTGTACGTGTATATTGTAAGCTGAAATTTTTTTTATTTTATTCAATATATTTATTTACCTAAAATCAATTATGAATGAAATATACATATAGAATCATTTTATTTGCAGATTTTCTGGCTATATTTACACATTTTGTTAATGTTGCTAATGTGTGTAGTTTTGCTGTGGTTCATGTAAGAAATTTTATACAGAAGGGATTTTTTGTTTAGAGTAGAATGCTTAGTAACAATTCACAGCAAGGGAGGTTCAAACAACCCATTTGTAATAAACAAATAAATTGTACAAAATTTGAACGGCTAAATTATTACACATTTTTTGTTAGAGTGTTCTGAGTTCATAAAATAAATATTCAATGCTTTATTGCAGTGTTCTACAGCTGTTAATATTCCTTTTTAAATATAGATGGTTGAGATATTCTTTGATTAGTTCAATAATAAAAAAGTTACAGTTTAGTTTGTTTGGTTGATAGACTATGTGATTTCAGAGCTAAAGGAAATCATCACTTCAATAAATAACACAAATAGTACTACAAAATTACCTTATAATTTGTACATATTATCTACAACACTGTTTTAAAACGCATGTATATAATTAAGTTATTATTCATATACTTTACTAACAATATTTATTGTTTGTTCGCAAATAACAATTTAACTTAGTTTTAATGAAAAATCCAATATTGATTAAAACTAAAACTCACCAATAGGTTCCACGCTAGAGATGTGGTCCACAAAGTCCCTTTTGCCCAGGTACAAAGTGAGCTTTCCATTGGGGGAGACCTTCTTGAAAACTTTGAAATTCACGACCATATTTGTTTAAAGTAACACTCACTAACAAGAACTGCAGGGGAGTCAGTGCCTCCTGGCTTTTATACTGTACTTGTAAGGCATCTAAGCTACTTAGGCTAACAGGATGAGAACGTGGGTGTAGTGAATGGTCACGTTCCTAATCGCGTTTTCACAGTTGGCGTAAAACCGCAAACAAATGTCGTCAGCCTTAAGACGCAGGTTCTTACATTACAGAAGCATTCACCAGGTCTCCAGTAAATTGTTAAGACGGGGGATTATGGTTGGAAACTAATTTAAGTATAGTTTTATTTAGGGTTTAGACAATATGGTAATGAAGGATAACCAATTTACCAAATTTTATTTAGGGTAATTATAAAAAATAGAGGTCGTCCAGTGGTCGAAAACTTAACTAAAACTATATGTAATGTTCAGACTTCTCTATTTTCACCCCACGCTGTAAATAAAACAATTTCTTCCAGTTGTTTTGATTTTTTGTTTATATTTTGTTATTATTTCGTCACATGAAATGAGAAATAAATGTCAAAAATAATGTTTACATTCAATTCTTTTCTGGAGTATAAAAATTTTACAGTTATAATAGTATAGTGTACTTAGTAGTTCAGTTAGGCATTTTTATTGCAACACAGCACAAAAGTGTTTTATGATACTTTATACGCTTACGGTTTTCTGCATTCACAGAATCTAACCAAGACATGGTTGTAATAATATATTTATGAATTACCTACATTTATCAGTTGTTAACCACTACTTTAGGTTTTTTGAGCAAATTACAATTTTCATTGATCAAATTCAAACTTATTTGGTCTTCTGTGGTCCACTTAATATTTTTCAAACAAAAATTAAATAATTTGACATATATTTAATAATCTTGTCATTTTATTGTTATTACCTGACCTGACTTCTGAAATACCACTACAATTATGTGGAGATAAACTCAAAAAACTAGTTGAAACCAATTTTCTTTTCACTGATGGTTTGTCTGCAAACAAATTTAATTAGGCCAACTACTCTTAAATAAAGTAAACATAGATGATATGATAACAATATCACTGCCCAAATGTAAACCACTTAAGTTGTTATTCAAGCAACACGTGAGTTCAGTCGTCAATGTTGCAGACAAAACAGGCTTTACGAGACGTAGGGCTTCACAAGGACAGTTACACTTCCTTGAGAAACAATCAGCTGAATATGCTCAATTATACTTTTACGTTCGTTATTTGTTTATTAAATTGTAAAAAATAATGATCTATCCTTTAAAACCCTTCCCAGACGGCCTTTAGTATGTATACAGACAGCAAAATTATTTTACTTATATCAAAACTGAAAAATACTTTTTTTATATCTTTAATTTATAGAATGTTGTAAATAGTTGACCTATGCACCACTTTTGTTCAAAATAATGTTTTTTTACTTTTTTTTAATTATTATTTTTATATAAAAAATAATGTTTTTATTAAATTTTTCTAGTACAGCATCCGAGTAGTTTCGGTTAAAGATATAGCTGAATAAAAGAGCGTTTTTACGAAGATTAATGATGTTATAGACAATCAACTAGCCTATAACAATAACTGTTATAATAATCGGGGGATGTATCCGCCTACTGTCCGCGGAGCCAAAAAAAAAGTTAAGCCGATATATCTGCTTATAGTCCTGGAAGGGTTAAAGTTATTAATATTGAATTACCGTATTTTTATTAGTCTTGCCTAGGTTTTAAGCATACAGTAGTTTATTCTATCCTGAAATTTATAAAAAATTCCTTTTAGTTTATCCTTGGGTCTAAAAACTTAGAGGGGTCACGGATATCATCGATATGAAAACCTCGTTACTTATTGTAACTAGTTTTTTGAAACCTCAAACTTCGAAAATGGTCAAAAATTAAGGCAAGAGTTGCATGAAGAGTGCATAACAACTTATTGTAACTGAATGTAAATTTACATTTCCTTGAATGTTATTATTTAAATTAGTAAAAATTGGTTATTCGTTTATTGTTCAAAACCATGTTGTGTTTATGTTTATTGCTTACTTTACATCTTAAATAGCATCAAACATCTAAGTTATGAACATAAAGTATGCTAAATCATACTCAAACATCACCTTAACTTGTAAGCCACGAAACATATTTCCTTGAATAGTTCGAATTGTAACACTTATATTCATTGAAACATATTCTAAGAACTAGATAGCATTCAGCTAAATATACCTAGATTGATATTAGGTGGAACAAAATAAAAGCAAATCTAAACATTTAGCATTTATTTACAGATATAAAAACTTTATAAAAAATATACAAACACTATCAGGTTATCTCCTTTTTTTTACACCGGAGAAGAATTTTGATTTCGTCAAGCCTTTGGGCGGAGGCCTCATTAGTTTCTTACGCTCCTCGTGGTGTTTAGCCATCGACTGTGTGTTCTTCATCCCTTTCTAGAACACGACAAAAACTTAGTCCTAGATGGAAATTCTTACAACTAAAACTGTGATAGAGAGAACAGCGATTCAAAAGCAAGAATTAGTATTTTAAGATGATTTCTTTGATATCTATTATTGTAATATAGTTACTATTCCTCATTATGTATTCGAATGCAGTAAAGTGGTGAGTTATTAGGGTTGGTTTAGAAAGTAATGATTACCGGTATTAGTAATGTTAAGTATTTTTGGTTTAAAAAACAAAAAAAACATAGAATAAGCCAAAGATTGATTCTCATCGTAATTTTAATGTTAGATACATCCAGGTTCATCCAATTTTTTCTTGGGAAAGAAAGTGAATAAGCCTAAACAAAGTTGAGGACTTTATTTATTGAATAAGTCGTTTTGAAACCCTCTTCCATCATCTAAAACAATTTTTTTTTAATATAAAGATTTTTGGGAGAAGAAAATCAAAATTGAGACTGATGAGCAACTAAGATGGTAAAATAATTATTTAATTAAATAAAAACCAAAACCCAACCTAAAATCCAAACTAATAGGGGATTTTTTTTAGACTCAATTAAATAAATTAGGAACATAAACTAATTTTTACAAAGAAAAATATAACTAAGAAAGAAAAGCCAAATTCACATTTCAATTTTAACAGACTGATTAATTTCTTTTCTTTAATACACTGTAAAATTTAAAAAATTTAAAATTGCTATAATATCCTTAATTAGATGGCACTTTTTAAAAACTAAATGTTGTAGTCACCTTCTTCAAAGTAAATGTCATTTCTCTGTTCCCGGTGGACAGAACTCGGACGTTGTGTTGCGATTCTTGTCGTAATCTTTCTTCGAGACTTGCCCTAAAAAAATAGCACAATGTAAAATATTTGCTACCATAAACAAAATTTCTGGCGAAAGAATCAGTAATAATCTTGTGAGGTGAGTCGGTGGCTCAGTCGGTAGCGTCACAGAGATAGTACTGAAAAGGAACACCCAATCATGTTTATCTTTAACTTTCATTTTCAGAACCCTGAATAATGTGACTGTAAAAAGATTAGATAAGTTTTTACTTACTTGTTAACTCTATGCTTCTTTCCTCCAACCACTCCGCCAAACTCTTCTCCCGCTCTTAACTCGTAGAACTTGGGCTGTCTTTGTTTCTTTCCTCCTTCAGCTTCTTCTTCCTCTTCTTGTTGTTTTCGTTCTTCCCATTCTTTCTGCCTCCTCTCTCTATTCACTAATTTATGTGTCTTTCGAATTTCCTTCGCAAGTTCTCCATCATCTTCAGAACTCGAGTCTTCCAAACTCTCACCTTCAGAACTTGCTTTGCCTTCTTCTTCATCCTAAAAGTATAAAATAATCAACATACATTTTGATAAATGTTCATTGATAAGAAAATAATTAAAAGAAACCCAGCTGCAGTAGGTCCAACAAAAGTGAATATACTTTTAGGATATTAGGATTTTAGTGAGGATATGCAGGCTCAGGCTTCTTTTTGAATGGGCTCAGGGAAAGAGCCCATTAAGGTAAATCTTCTATCCTCACAAAAACCAAGGCTCTTGTGCTCTATGTTTGCATCCTTAACCTCATACTTGTAGGTTAGTTTGACTAAATCTTGACAAGTACTCAATTACCTGCACCATAATTAATTTTCATGAAGACACGGAAACAATATACAATAATCAAACATAAATATCTATAGTTTATGAAGGTATGATGCACATGTACAATAACAATACATTATTGGCTGGGTTATTGATTATTGAGTTTAGTGCTGGCCTATTGTTGAGAAAGTCTCACAACTTTAATTCCAGTAAAAGTGAGTTTTGGGGATTTGAAACTGTACCCATTAGTCCTTGATCATTAAGTTTTTATCAACAATTTTTGCTAGGAACAACTAGTCAAGGACAACTGGGACCTATTTTGAACCATCAAAAAGCAGCTGCCTTTTTTCAGGATGAAACGTGTGGCCTTTTAATTTTCAGGCAAGTTAATTTATTTCCAAGCTTATATTTTCAGATATAAATGCTAAAACAGTTCTAAACAGTTAAGAAGTAAATAAAACGTACATCAACAGGTTCAAACTGTTCGGCCAAGTATTTCTTCTTCAACTCTTTGGCCTTTGATTTGTCCAGACGAGACAAGACAGGATTGAGAAGTCTGTAACAATAAATAACAAGTGAAATGTATCATAGCCGTACAGTTGATCGAAATCGTGTATAGAATCGATATTATCATGCATGTGGAAAACCTAAGTATACAGTAGAACCGCACTTATCTGACTTGCCTAGTCTGACCGTGCCATTGCCCATCAGTGACAATGTTACTGTATTGCAGTAATACCATGACCATTTACCATGGTAGTGTGGAGATCATCACCGTCTCGTGCAATCACGGCAACAATTAGAAACAACATAATCGTTTTACGCAATCACAATATTTTCCGCCATTCTCCCCTAACGTGGCAGAATATGAAGTGTCTCCTACAGTCATGGGAACATCATCATCTTCGGCAATCGTGTCAAAACCCCGCTCACAGGAACATTATCATTGTCTTCCGCAATCACAGGTGATCAATAAATGTTGCAGTTAACCAATTAAATGGTAATTTCTAATTTCATATGCTCCTTGGATAATCTGACCTTTTCACTGTTCCGACCATAGTCTCGGTCTGGTAGGTGACGGATTAGCGGGGTTGTACTGTATATAAAATAAGATTGATATTTTATAAAAAATTTTGAATGTTATTTGTTTTTTGTTTATTAATATATAACTTTTGAAGTACTATGAAAAACAGGAGCTAAGAGTGCAAAAGAGTCGAGAGGAAGAAAGGAAAATAGTGAGGTAATAATTAGTCAAAAGTTGTTGCAGCCTTAGGTGGTGGAAGAAGAGCCGCTGAAGATATTAAAGCAGTTCAGGTGGTTGGGTAAAGTATTGTCAAGTGAAGGGAGGATAAGGCTGGAGATCAAGACTAGATGAAAGGAACATGATCTGTAAAGTATTTTCTATAAGAAGAGAGCTGCTGACATAACAGCCATGTATATGATACACAGGCCAATAGTTATTTAAGGGGGGGGGGGGGGAAATAGAATGGCCAGGAAAGAGGACGAAGCAGTTTAACTAGAGATATGAGATTAATAAGGGCTATTAGTAGTAAAACAAGGTGAGAAAGGGTAATGAATGAACAGTTCAGAAGAGTGGTGGTTAAATACTGCTTAAAAAAGGGAAGGTAAAATCAGCACTAAGATAGTTTGAACATGTAAGAAGAGAGTATCCTTTGTTGTTCGTGATGGAGGTTTAAATAGGTTGAGAGGAAGACATAGAATTCGTGGGTCGAGGTAAAGATGGATGTGGAGAACGGAGAAGTGAGATGGAAGAAGAAGAACTGAGGAAGGATAGAGGCAGATGGAGGAGGGATAGTAGAAGATGAAGAGTAGGAGTTGAATGAGTATTTTACTTAATTAACTTAATTAAATTTAATTTAACTTAAAGTTAATTTACTTTAACTCCTCAAGTGTTCAAAAAGCAACATTACTTAGGTGTCTTCCTTAATGGAGCTACTGTACTTCAAATTTCAATATTGTAATGACGGTTTACTAACCTGTATTCTTCAGCGTTTGTATCAATTTGGAAGTCAGGATTCTGAAACAGCTGTTTGAACCTATCATCTTCCAACAAGTCTCCAGTTTTCTTCTTCTTCTTTTTCTTCTCATCAGTGACGTCGTTAATCAATTTCAAAGCAAGATCCTTATTGACTTGAGGTAGTTTCTGAAAGATAATAAGAAACATGATTTTTAGTAGGTTTAAATTATTATTAAAACCACTGCATAAGATTTAACACTTCTTTTAGATATTAGAAACCATAACAAAAATGAATCCGAATACATTCATGATCTTAAATAAGTAGCAAATTTTGTACCTGAATCTGTACTCGGTTTTTACGCTCCTCTTCAATCTTCTCTCTGATCTTCTTTCTTCTGTATTCTTCAAAAGCAAAAGGTTCAGCCACTGACTTAGCTTTGCGATACAAGCGAATGTCGATGAAATATCCATGCATATATGCTCTAAGAAGGTTTGTACCTGCAAAATAGGTGAATTTGATGAGTTGTTGGAATCAACTTGATAGGTCATAAAATGGCTAGACAAAAAGTCTGAACTCAATCAATTTTTAACTCACCAAATGAAACTTGCACAGCTTAAAATTTAACTGCACTTAGGCAACAAAACCAACAAAAGTACTGTATAAAGAACAATTTTTTTTTTATATTTAAGAGACACTTCCATTCATTGACAAAATCTAGGTTTAAGTTACTCACCAATCAAATGCGATAATCCTAGGTCTTCAAGTTCATTTTTAGTGACAAATTTGTAGTCGTCATAAACTGTCTCCATCACTGTTTCTTCTAATTCCTCAGTCAAGTTGTCCAGGAATCCACACCACTTTGGTGCAGGGCCCAGGCTCTGAAAACAAAAATTATCAGGCTATGGAATCAAAATAACATATAACAAATTTACGCTGCACTATATTATTAGTAGCGTTAACTTGCTGAGAAACGGCTATCCTCCTGGAAGTTCAACTTTGTTCCATGCCCTCAAACCCAAGAGCAAGATCTCATTTCATACTCTAGACTAGACAAATTTTCTGCTGGAACCTTTTCTTAGATAGTACTCAAGAGTTTGCCCAAATGACCGGTTTGAGCCAAGTTTGGGTCATTCCAGGTATTTTCAATCAATTTATTTTCACACGGTTCCAAAACGTGAAGTTGTCTACATCAGACGTGTCTATGACAGGCATATACAAAGGGTATTTAAGAATACTGCTAGCAAACCACTCAAACCATTACTGAGCTTGTTGGCCAAAAGGATTGATGCACTAGGAGGGTTGAAGCTGATATGTGGATTCCAAATTCTGAGAGTTTTGTAAATACATGTCTTTAAAAAGATACAAGCACAGTTATCCAGAAGGTTACTTTGCTCTAATGAACAAAACTTAGGATTGTACTCACAGGGATATAGTAAGTTTGAACTTTGGGCGCCTCGTTGGCAATAAACATGAGCCCAGAGTTAGGCACAGAATACAGGCTGTTGAACTGTGTCAGGTTCCCAGCTTCTATAGATGTGAACAACACTCCCTGAAATTACAAAACATATAATTAAGTTTGTATTGTAAAGGCAAGTTAACAATATTTACAGATAATATCTAAGACTAAATTTCTAACTACGCAAGTCTCTGTTAATGTACATTACCTTTTATTTAAACTATGTATTCTTTTTGGGAAAAAAACTAATGTATTCTTTGATAAGTAGACAATACTATTATAATAAAAAAATTCTTAAAATTAAATATTAAACTAATATCTCACTTTTTTTTTTGGAATGTTTTGGTAATAAGCTCAAATACTTTGCAAATCAGAAAAATTAAATTAAAACTCTCAATTTTCAGCCGAGCAAGATATGCTTTACTTTATTATGGCCGATACCACCAACTCAACAACAGATAGGTGAAGCATCAACCAGTTGCATATTCCAACAATCAAGACTAGGTTCTACAACTTTTTTAAAGAGGATGGCGGCCTCTTTTAACCTTGCATTTGCCAGTCCACATAGACTAACTGCCCGTGCGTGGATCATATCCAGCAAAGCAAGGGGTGAGTCGGTACAGTACAAGGGTGAACTGTACTGATACAATTCCCTAGCATACTATATGTTTTAACTCTATCAGTATCATAACTCAAGGGACATTGCCTTTTACAACTGGGACATCATTTACAGCTTACAACGAACAGTTCCAGTAACGTATATCTGTTTGAATTGAATAAGTATAGGCCTATCCTATATTAGGTTAGGTTATAAATGAATAAAAGAAATAAAACCACTGACCGTGTCCTTGTTCCATATTTTGACGACAGATGAATCCATGCTCAGCACATGTTCCCCGGAGTGAGCGACGTCGCGTATCGGTAGTCCGTACATGTGGTCTTTGACTCGGAGAGGTTTATCAGAGCGGAGGTCGTACAGTAACACTTGACCTGTCGCTGTGCCGACGCTCAGACCCAACGAGCCACTGAACTCTAGGGCTGTCACTGACGGGAACCCTGACATCCTACAACATTGTCATACTTTGGATTTGAAAGTCTTCCTCCAATCTAATCATGGTAACACCATCATTTACAGGTAAAATAAACTGACTAAATAGGCTATCTAACCTCTGTCTGTAGTCTAAATTTATTTGTCAACAGGTGTTGACTAGTTTAGTTGCAAACTCAACATTATCAACGCGTGCAACACATCAAAATGGATGGGTTTCTAGGTACGTATATGGTATATGTCGTAGTTATTGGATACAGTAAGAAAGAACTGTTACAATGTTGCTTGAGTCCAGTGTTTTGTTTTATAATTTGAGATATCGAAAAAATGATGGGAGCCTTCATTTCCTCCACCTTCCCTATAATTTAGTATTCCAAATTCCCTATGGACCTTTCCCTCATAGAGAATTATGCCACTAATTAAGTCCTGCAAGTCCTTCAGATATCAAAAAACTGAATTCGTCGTTTAACACCAGATTAAGCGCATATATGTCACATTGTGGGCTTCTTCAAAATACAATTGCATGTTTTAGAGATAGTTGAACTTACAGTACTTCATTTCAACAGCAGCATCATACCTATGAGTTTCGAAAAGAGACAAAGAAAGGTTCATAGTCCCTTAAGGCCTATTTATTTTCAAAAATCTTTCTTACCCTACAATTATCAGCATAACATTTTTTTTATGTTTGGAAGTTTCTTATTAAGTTCTGCTTCTGCTAATACATCTTACATAAGACTTTACAACTGAAGTCACAAATTCTCAAGCACTAACCTAACCTACACTCACTCGGGTGATGTGTCCGGTGTGACACAGTTAAGGGCGCAGTCGAGGACTCCCACTCTTCCCCTCGTCCGAGGATCCCACGCCTCGACTCTCCCCTCCCTCGTCCCCACCACAACTAGCCGATGGTGTCCGTTGATGGCTATCTTGTTTATCTCGGTGGCTTCACTCTCAAACGGAGTCAGAAACTGACCCAACTCCAGGTTGAGTCGGTAAATATCCTTCCTAGAAGTAAATTTATGTGTGGTTAGGTATAATTAGTATAGGCCTAACTAAAAATCCAATCTTGCCCATCCCTAGTAGAGATTAAAGTTTAAGATACCTGGTAACAATACTTCTATAAGTCTGGAGATGAGGTCTGTGTCTGACTCTAATTTCTACTTTATAAATTTATTTAAAACTAAAACCAGGCAGAAAGGTTTTAATCCAACAAAAATAAATTACACAATAAATTAGGCATAGATCTAACGGAAACTTACAAGCAAAATACTAACCCAGTTCCCGCTAAGTACAAGTCACAAGTAGCAAAATGATACTTTAAGTCTCTGCCGAACTTTGGTATCCGCAATCGGAAGTATCTCCCCCCAGGTCCATGAAACTCTACGTATCTATCACATTGGAGGAAGACTATCTGCAACACAGACAAACATTTGTGCACTAAACCATAGCCACAAGTACCTATTAACTTCAAATATTAACTAGTTACTCTATAAAACTGAGATTACATGTCAATGCAAGACAAATTATATAGGGCCTATGTAAATCTGAGATATCAAAAGAAGATTTTGGAAGATTTATTTTGTAAAAATTTACGATTACTATGTATTTCAATTTCAATTTTCAATTTCTTTATTCATTGAGAAGTATACATAATACAGCATTTGAATAGTGTCAAAGATTACAATTATTAAAATATAAAATACAGATTAAAAATAAATCTTAAATTAAAAAATACATCTCCCCATACAGATGCCTTCTTCTAGTATTCTTGAGGGAGGTGGAAAAATTCTTCTTGAGAATAAATTGCCATGTTTATTAAGAAATTTTTTAGTTTTGTTTTAAACTTTTTTGGATCTTTTTCATTTCTAATTCCTCCGGGGATATGTTTAAAAAAACTTTTACCAGCAAATGATGGCTTTTTTTCATAAAACTTTAATCTGTGCCTATTTTGCAAAATCTGATTTTTTTTTTCTCGTTTCATATCGGTGAACCGGTAGATTGGATACATCGGATGAGGTTTTATTTTTAAAAATTAAAATTGAATCATAAATATACTGCCCATAAACAGTTAGTATGTTTAGCTGTTTAAAGTGCTCTTTTACCGAGACATCAGAATTTAGTCTGAGCATTACTCTCACTGCTCTTTTTTGATGTTTTAATATTTTATCTAGATTGATTTGAGTTGTTGCTCCATATAGACAGATACCAAAGGAAATATGTGAATGGATATATGCAAAGTAAATGTTTTTCAAAGTTTTGACATCACAGTACACAGACATTTTTGAAAGGGCAAAAATTCCAGAGTTGATTTTTGAAACTATTTTTTTTGTATGATCATTCCAATTCAAATTTTGATCTATTGTTAGACCCAAAAAGTTTGTGCTGGTCTTTTGCTCAATAAGTTGCGAGTCATACATTATTATTGGGTGATTGGAATTTTTATTTTGTGGTGTTTTAAATGTGATAAAATTAGTTTTTTTGTTATTTAATTTTAGGTTTTGGCACACCAGATAACTGCCCAAATTTCCAAGTTCTAGATAAGCAGAAATTTCCGTTTGTTCCAGTGTAGGAGAGGAAATAATTAAATTAGCATCGTCAGCATACAGGCACAATTCACTTCTAGGTCTACATACTAGGACACTGCTTATGTCCTTTAAATAGCACAAAAATAGCAATGGTCCTAAAATAGACCCTTGAGGCACTCCATATTTTATTATTTTAATTTCTGAGGCAGTTTGAATAATTTTATTATTTTTTAATTGAGTAATTTCAACATATTGTGTTCTATTACTCAGATAGGAATTAAACCATTGCAATGCATTTTTAGTTATTCCAAGCAATTTCAATTTATTCAATAATATTGGATGTTTTACACTATCAAAAGCTTTAGATAGATCCATGAATATGCCAATTGTTGTTTCACCTCTATCAACCGATTCAATAACTGACTCTAAAAATGATACTGCTGCAGTGACTACCGACCTTCCAGGCCTAAAACCATGCTGGTAATCATCAAGTAAGTTAAACTTTTCAAGATAATCACTCAACTGATTGTAAACAATTTTTTCATAAATTTTGGAAACAGTTGGAAGAAGTGAAATGGGTCTGTAGTTTATTACATTTGTCTCATCGTCTTTTTTATGCAGAGGGATAATTTTTGCCTTTTTTTTAATTGATCTGGAAACAAACCAGAAATGAAGGAAGAGTTTATCAGGTGAGCCAAAACTTTACTGATATTATGACCTACTTTCTTAAGTAAATTAATAGGTATATCATCATGGCCGCTAGACTTTTTGTTCTTTAGCGATTTCAATACGTTTTCCACCTCCTTCTCACAAACACTCTTAAAACTAAACTTAGGTTTCAGAAAGACATCTTGTTGAAAACTGGATGGGATTTCATGTGTTACATTTGAATCCCATCGGCTGTTATTAGGATCTAGATCTTCTACCACATTTAAAAAATATTCATTGAAGATATTTGAAATTAATCTGGGATCCTCAACAAGATGCGTGCCTCTTAACAGTTTTATTTTATTAAGGTGTTTTTGTTTTTTATTTCCAACTTCCGAGTTAATAATGTCCCATACAGTTTTTTGGATATTAGAAGAATTATTAATTTTTTTTGCAAAATAGTTAGATTTGGTTTGATTCAATATTTTCTTAAAGTCTTTTACTTCTGTTTTGAAAATATCCTTGTACTCATGTTTTTTGTTGTTTCTGATTTCCTTGCTGATTTCTATGAGTCTGTGACGTTTGATTTTTATTTCTTCTGTAAGCCAATTATTTTTTTTATTTTTTTTTGTTATTAAAGTTTTTGGAAAAGCCAATTCAAAGTAATAACTAAATGTTTTTTGGAAGATGTCAAATTTATTTTCTACAGGAGCTAAATAAACATCAAGCCATTTTTCATCTTTTATAAGTTTAACAAAATATTCTATGTTTTCACAAGAAAACTTACGAATTTCTTGCTTAACAATTGGCGGTTTGTAATGCTTTTCTAAGTTGGGAATTTTAATTTTTAAGATTTGCCCATCATGATCTGATAAACATGTTATTATGCCTGTAATCGTCATATCACAAGATTTTGATGCATTTACAAGAAAGTTGTCAATGGCTGTTTTTGTGTTATTTGTTACTCTAGTTGGAAAATTGACCATATATTTCATGTCATGGCTTTTCAATAGGTCTTTCAGTAAATTATGTTTATAATCATCTTTAATAACATCAATGTTTAGATCTCCTCCTATTATAACATTGGTATACTTTTTTTTTAAACAACCAATCACAGTACTTAATCTGTCTAAAAAAGTTTTAGACAGATTAATTCCAACTTACTTTGCTGTAATCGTCTGAAAGTACTTCAAAGTTGACAACTTCAGAGTCAAAACACCTTTCAAATTTCATTGACAAGTTGTTGACTTCGTAACAGCGAACCCGAGGCTTGTATATACCAGTTGTGACAATGTACTGCAGATCTGGCGACATCTTGACCGTGGTGCTGAGACCAGGCATGCTGAAGTCTTGGATGAGTTCGATCCTGCGTCGGATATCTGGAAACAAACGTGAAAAACAACATATAAGTAAACCTTAAGGGTGCGCTAATATTGTTAAATGCAACTTCTAGATGGGTTGTGGATGAGCCATATGTAACTGTGGGAAAGAAAGTCAATAAGCAATCACACAGTAGTGAACCACTCTGCTCATCGACGTCAATGTGAGTCAGCCTCTGGGTTCTATAGCCCTGTAAAATAGCGCTAACTTGGATTAGAGAGCTAGTTTGGAATAAGAAAGATGTGATGTCTTAGCAAAGTTAGCTGACTCTTTAATGCTAGCTCGACTTCTAGGACTTAGGCAACTAGGAAAGTATTAAAAGCCCAATCAATTCTAGTACAGGACCAGTTCTAAGTAAAGCAGTTAGGCCTATTAACACTATCCTGAGCATTGAGCCCATGGCCTTCAGATTAGGCCTACATAGTGCACTTAACTTCCTAACTAAAAGCCTGTAGATTGTGAAAAGAATACTTGTAGCCTAAGTAAAAAATAGACATCAGAATATAACCACAAAAAAAACTGTTTACATGAAACTTAAAATTATGAATAGTACTGACCGACATCTTTGTTTTGAAGAGCTCTTCTCTTTCGGTCTGACAGCCACTGAAAAAAAACAAAATTATTCAAAGCTGATAACTGTACTGCAATAGCCTACGTTGAAAAATTGGTTCTGACTTAAGTTAGCCCTATGTAGGCCTAAGATATTCATTTTAACTTTATTTGTTTTACCTCCAGGATTGATATGAAAGTGGCTGAAGGGAGCCTATCGGGATGAAGATGATGACAATTGATACAATGACTGTAAATGTAGGTTAGGCCTATGTACCTACCTCTGTCAACAACAGTCTACTATCTAGGATATTATTGGAGTTCCTTTTTAGACTAGTTTCTGAGTGCAAGGACTAACTTACATTAGTTCAATTTAATAATCTCAGAAGATGGGTAGCCTACACTTCCATATCTGTTGGCACAAACAACCGAATGAGTAATATTGGAATAGTCACATATCTTTTGTATGTAGTAGACTTTCCAGGGTGATTTACCTGCTCAGGAACTTGAAGAGCTCTGTACCCACTGAATGGCTAAGAACTGCATATCTTGCCTTTTTTCAGAGCATAATTCTTTATGGTTTAAGACTCTGGGGTGGCACTCCGGGAGTCGAGAGGGTTTTGACGCTCCAAAAGGCGGCAGTCAGAATCTTGGCAGGTGCTGATTTTCTAGACCACTGCAAATCTATATATTAATTTGAAACTGTTTTTCTTTGTCACAGCTATTTTGAGAGAACGGCTGGGCGTAGAAACTCGGTAGAGGTGTCTAAAGAAAGGTCTTGGTCTGTAGATGAGCCATCAAAAAAGAAACAAGGTGAATTCCCTTGGGGCTCTGCCCCAGTGGCCTTTGAATTCCCATCCCATGTTATTCTTATGGAGGAAAACGGGGTTTTGTCACAGATAATTTGAGAGAACGGCTGGGCGTAGAAACTTGGTAGGGGTCTCTAAAGAAAGGTCTTGGTCTGTAGATGAGCCATCAAAAGAGGAACGAGGTCAATTCCCTTGGGGCTCTGCCCCAGAATCCTTTAAAGTTGCCTCCAGATTTGTTTACATTACGACCATATGCATAATTCTACACTACTTTTTAATGAAACAGCTGTTAATATTTAAATTGTGATTTATTGAATTTGTCAAAATGAAGTACAGTATTTGCAATGGGTTTTTCTGATTTTAAAATGGATTTTCTTCTGCATCATGTCATGTTTTGCAATATAATGTTCTATTACCAAATCAGTGGAAAATCCTATTATCACAGTAACTCTTTTCTTTTGGAGTTAACTTATATCTATTGTATGGGTTGGTTTCTGCCTTTTTTACCACTTCTTGGAGATTGTACGTAGGTGATATTCGTTGGCATATTGCATCTGTAGACGAAACTTGGGTTGGTGTATAGAATGGAAAAGAGTGAGAAATCCTGGACAATTTGATATAGGCTAAAAATAAAACTGAATTAACACAGTTCTACATTTCTTAAGCAATCATTGAAATAACCGATTTGCAAACAATGGAAACATAGAAAAAGTCATAGAACACAACCAAGTAGAAGAAATAGAAATAATGTTTTTTTTTTCATTTATAATCGTTATCATATACAACCTAATGCGACTATGAGAGGGAAACATTTGTAGAAAACACTAAAAAAACAAGATCAGCTTTTTGGGAGTTGTTTTATCTAAGTTAAAAACGTGTGACATGGGAGGTTAGGTTAGAAATGCTTGTACTCACATCTGGTAATGACTTCCCAGCACTAAGATTGTAGATCTTAATGTTGTTAGGATCGGAGACCTGCATGTTCAATCAGTTTCTTTAATAGAAATAAAAGAAAATTAAATGTCACTAAGCTTCACAATAAATGTCTTAATTCTCATGTTTACTGTAAACAATCGTGTATCACGTCTTTTTGTCTATGCACGTATTCACGTGTGGTGGCGATCAGCGAAAGAATGAATGGCAGAAGTAAGCAGACGACATTGGTTCTTTTCAATGTCGGCCAGATGTAAGTACATAACTATGATGCTGCAAACCCCAAGCTTCGATTCGATCGACCTATCTTCAGCATGAGAATACCATGACCATTGATTATACATAGCAGTAGTGCGGCCAATACCATTACTCTGTCCCATCAATCATAATTTTTTAATTTGATACAGAAACATTATGTTTATAGTCCTGCTATTTCGTAAAATAACACAGTTACCATAAATAACGGCTTAAAAATGTATACAGCTAAGCCAAAAAGTCAAGCTTTGGATCAAACAAAAGATCCAAGCGTATATAATTATTTATATATGGTTGGTATACAACTATCACACTTACCTCTACCAAAGCTGTTATCTCAGTCTTGGCCTTAAAATATGCACTCAAAAATCTTTAAATTCCCTAACTTTACCATTGGGGGAAGGAACAATGATAACTGACGCAGCCAAGTTGTGAAATCATAGTTTTTTATGACTTAAAACTTGGCATGAAATTCTAATTCTTATATCAATTAACTTGGTTGTAGGTTCTTTCATATTATAAATCTATCTGGAACCTAGAGGTTTTTTTTGCAGTTGTATTGTTAGCACTATTATATATATAATTGTAACTCTAAACCATATATTCATTCTCATATTATTTAATGTACAAAAGTATATTAAGAGTCATATAAAGAGTTTTATAAAAACATACAATTTTAAATTAAATAAACCAAAATTGTTTATTTAAATTCATCATCATCATTAACATGTTCAATATTTATTTGATATTTGCACTGTTGAAGTTCATTACGCTGCTTTCGTCTTTTCAATTCTTCATCCGATCGGCACTGGGTACCCGCCTCTGAAACATAATAACATACATCAAGCTAATTTTCAAAATTAATCAAACATTTCAGAAGAGAGAGATCATATTAATAAATGGTAGCAAGGCTTTATAATTTTCATATTATTTTATCTCTTACGTAATACAAAAAGTATATTTATAATAGTAATACCGAGAGAATTTTATTATCTTTCTTGTTTTACAGCTAAAACACATCTGTACAATTAAATGAAGACTAGAAAATTTATACTCTAAAGGTCCCGCCCTGACTCTACCTAATTTGAAAGTTCTAAAACAACACAGACTCAACTATGTTATTGGAAAATTGTTATTTTGTAAACTCAATGGACAAATTTTCTCTTTAGGTTTTAGGGAATCGCACAGTAAAAAATTAACATATTTTTTTTATTATGGTACCTAATTTTCCTAGAGAGAACTAAATTTTAGCGACCTTTTTTTCTGGTAAGCTTTTGGAAATAATTTCAAAATGTGTAACAACAAGCAATTAAAAGAACAAAGAATTTGTGCATTCCAATTTTCTCTTTCTCCTATCACATTCTCAATAGCAAAAATACCAACTCTTTCTCTTGCCGTTACCACACAGCTCCGGGACAGGTTCAATGAGTTCGCAGATGAAGGGGAGTTTAAGGGTACAATCCACAGTTCGCCAACCCCTGCGGGAATCTAGCACAACACAGTCCTCTATAGGCCGGGACCTAGGGTGTCCAGGTGCCCAAGCGCGGTAGTCAAAACAGTTCAGTGGCTCGTCTGGAAATGAACAGTAATGAAAACCACAGGATAAGAAGAACAACAGACAAGGAGACAAGATAGAAGGGAAAGGTAGTTGGGAAAATTCGTTGGCTTATAATGAATATTGGAAATTATTGGTTTCAAAGTGCTTATTTAATCAGGTATTTATTCAGTACATATGCAGCCCTGTATCCTGTAGCCCCAAATTTGATATAAACTAACCCATACAACAATTTGAAACAGTTTTTACTAGCTATAATAGCTGGATCAAATTGTACTTGGACAACCTATGGATCTGCTGAAGGCATCTTATTTATTTTGTGCACCCTCCCCTTGTCCGTTTATTATCCTACATACAATTCGGAATGTAGCTAACACTGCATCTAAATGTCCTACATTTAGTGATCACACTCCCCAAAAATTGGATCCATACTTTTTGATAAGGATAAGTGTGATTCTTCATTTGAAAAAAATATTCTTTACGTTCAACCCACCAGGAAACTCAACTCAAATCTGCATTTCTTCGTATGAACAAAAAATAAAGATAACATCTTCCTATTTTCTCAATCGTAAAATTCAAAAAGTTCCAAAGTTAAGGAAATTTTAAGTGCAGTTCCAACATTTCACAATAATTAATTGTAAATTTCTGAGTAATGTAGAATTCTTCAGTGGATATCCAACAAAGAAACTGAAATGATTTCTAGAATCGTCCAATCCAAAGAATCTTGACATTTTGGATTGACATTCCTCGATCCGAATCGCCAACATATCACTATCGCAGTTTGTACTTACAAACCTTCAACAGAAACAAAGAATCCCTCTTGTGAGATATCATTAAGACCAACGTAGGCCTGCAGTAGCTTTGACGTAGGACCCAGTGTAGCTACGAGTGTTGAAAGTTTGGTCGTGCGGACGACGGTGGTGACCCGAGCCAGCTGAGCCCCCTCCCCCTCACACCAGCTGACAGCCTCGGTGTAGTTGGCTCCCTCGGAGTGTAGATGGAACATCCCCAGTTGAAGGATACAGGTCACATTACTGTCAATGTCTGAAGGAAAGAATACCCCAACTCACCTAAAACGTCCTATAAGACGTTTTTAGACTGTTCCTAAACACCAACACTACAACTTTCTGGTCGCCGAGACTTCCTGTAGACACCACGCCTAGATTACTAAAACATCAACCCTGAAAAACTCACTTAAACATCGTGACAGGGCAGTTTACCATACTAGACACCTCACCTAGATTACTAGACACCACACCCAGATTACTAGACACCATTACTTAGATTACTAGACACCATACGTAGATGACTAGACACCATTACCTAGATTACTGCACACCATTTAGTTACCTGGATAACTAGACACCACGTCCAGATTAGGGTTAGGTTGAGTTAGGTTAATCTAGGTAATGGTGTCTAGAAATCTTGGCGTGGTGTCTTGTAATCTTGGTGAGGTGTCTAGTATAGGAAGCTACCCTACCACGATTTTTAAGCGAGTTTTTCAGGTGTGGTGTCTAGTAATCTAGGAGGCGTGGAGTCTACAGAAAGCCTCGTGACTATAAAAGTCATTTTTAAGAAAGTTTTAGTGTTAGTGTCTAGGAACAGTTAAAACACGTCTTATATAACATTTTAGGTGAGTTGGGGAAAGTGAATACTGTATTAATCTCTTGACTGTTGATAGAACTATGCATTCCCACATATCAAAGGTTTTTGGTAAAAAAAATGAACATAGTTAAATTGAGTGGCTGACTTAGAGCGCTTATGTTAATAATAATGTTCTATAATACCCCCGCCGCAGCAAACCTGCTGTCTAAGCGAATTTCCATTTGGCTGAATTGATTCTCAATGGATCTATTAAAAAAACATTAGGTTTAACGAGTGGGTACCTAGGTTTGCTGCAACAAGGAAACCAATAAAGTGTGTGTTTTAAGTAAAATAATTATTGCTTAGTAGAAAATGAATATATTTGCCAAGTTTGAACAAAAGATATCCATAAACAAGCAAACTACAACATTTTACAATATTCTCCATAAGAATAACATGGGAATTTTAAATTTACAATTTTTTTAGTTTTTTCCGTAACCAATAACTGTACAAAAACACTTTGATATACTGAATTGTTTGTTTTTTTAAGCTCTTTAAGAAGGTTTAGAGAAAAATTGGGAAATTTTGTGTTTTCAGGGTCAAAAGTGAGAAAAACCCATTTTGTAACACTCTCGTTTATTACTACATTCCCAATGGGACTGATCACCCCATTAAATATAACTTAATTGAAGGTCGCGCCTTCAATGTTGGAATACTCGTTAAACAGAGCTGCATACAGATTGCCACCCTGAAGTGAAGGACCCGCTAAATTACCATCTGCCCAATTTTACTCACGACCGGAGTCCTGGAGTCAATCCGCTTATCAGTCCGGGACGGTTATCAGTTGGATTGTCTGGACCTGCCAACTATTCGGACCCTACGCCACGGCCTCATTTCGGATCTGAACGGAGAGTGACGAAGTGATCAAGAATCTAGCCCTCAGCTCACCGTCGTCGGTGGATTATTTTGTATCCAAATTTGGAGAACTCTGAGGGTTTTACCACTGGGTTTACTGCCTACCCTACTGTTGTTCGCTGCTCCTGGGTACTGGAGGCTGTGAATGCTGTCGGATGAGCGACACACTTGGACTCTACCACTGCCTATCTACCTGCGACCTGCGTCACACGTGATCGATTTGCGGCTGCCACTGCCGCAACTGAACCGCACGGTATCGCGACCGGATGTGTATTGTCGAGGTGACTGTGTGATTGGGGCCCCATAACTTGGTGAGTGACTTCAGATTTCAATATCTCGTGATTATTTTCGGCAACGGAAACTGGGACTGTCATCGATACAGCACAATGGATTAATAATCTGGATTCTCTTTCAACGAATCCTTTGTTGTAAATATTTCTAGTTTTTAAGATATTTGTGTCTACTTTGTTTTGTTTAGGTGTTCCGGTGGCCACCGTCAGGACATGTCTATTTTGTAAATAATTGAAATAATTGTGAAGTAATTAAGTGTTCTCTGATACGTTAATTTGTTTATTTAGCGATAAGGATACCTTTGCCTATCTAATATTTTGTGGGAACTATTTTAATTGAGAACTATCTGTTCCTTGGTATCCTAGTATATTATTGAATTTATTTAGACTGTTGTTTTGATATTAATTATAAATCAAGGGAGAGCCAATATTATCTGATTAAGAATCTTTTCTTTTGTTATCACTGAGACAATTGTGTTTGAAATTTTTAAATACCATAATAAATTTGTGTCTCAGCATTCAGTTTTGAGTACTTCTGTTTACCTTTGGCTTTAAACAGGTGGCATAAGATTATTACTTGGGAAGTACAAAGAAAGATTCAATTTAACAGTAGTAAGTTTAGTAAAACTATTTTTTTCAATTCAAGGTTTGTTAAGACACGGCCAATTAACATCTCACGTTTATCAAATCCCTGTTTACTGACTGAGTAAAACTTGACTTCTGGGAAGGATTTGGGGTTCCTTGTTACCCTCCTGCTGCATCCCCCCTCAACAAGGTGGCGCCTTCAAAATACAAATAGTTAATAGTGTCATCAGCAAGATTGCTCTCAGTCAACCCCGCCCTTCATCTGAGCTACCGGGGACCCGTGTAACAGAAAGTATTGGAGCCGGCTGTTACAATTTTTACCCCATAAAACCCCCCATAAAACCCTGTTCCCATGGTCCGATCATGCTGGATCGCGAACTCATTCAAGTTTATCCCGCCTTACACCTCCAAACCAAATTTCATCAAAATCAGATAAAAATTACTCAAGTTATCGTGTTCACGGACACATATATATATAAATCTATATATATACCTTTCCTATAGGGAAATTCGCTAAAATGAGCTAACTTTTAAACAATCCTTACTAATAGGAATAGTTATTGTAAAATTTAGTATGTTATATCATTATAAGGTATTGAAAAAGAAAACTGAAAAACTAATAGTAAAATAAAATGTTATATTGTAGCACACTGATCTATAAAGATGGGTTTACTGACTTACACTATCAAGAAGTAGACATTTTATTCGCAATTTAAACGTGCAGTCAGTTTAAGAAAAATTTCAACCATCCCGATTTTTTATTTTTTTCAAACATGAGGGATCTTTTATGTCCACCTAAACTATCTTAATATGAATAACCAAAAGAGAAAGTCCTCGTTGGTAAAAAAAGCTGGCAGTAACTGGTATCAAAAGTTGGAATGTCTTAAGTACAGTATCCAAATTCAATGGTCTAATTTAACAACATAAAAATGTTTACATTCCACAATTATTTCAATTTCACTTGAACTACAGTATTACTTACCCAGATCCCTGTATATACCGTAGTAGTCATACATACTGTTATCTTCCAGTAGTGCTTCATCCATTTCTGGACACTCATAGAGGATACATGTATTCTTCTCTTTAATTTGCAGGTCTTCTAAAAAAATAAAAATAAAATTATTTAATTTGGCCATGATAATAGAGTAAAATATTTTTTTTAATTGGCGAATCAGAAAGCTTACTTTTGTTTCACAAGTTCATCCTTTCTTACCTTTTCAGGGGCATTAGCCATTTTTTCTGTGCTAAGACCTACGCATTTTCAAGACATCTTGAACCTTTACATGAATTTTCTTTAAAAAAGTCAGTTCTTACCTGAATGGTAAGACTTACGCCTGGGAGAGCTATAGTTAATTTTATGATCCCATAGAGGTTGGACCCCTTTTTACAGAAACATTAAGACTGGACACGATTCACACTTGGGAACCTAGATTTTCCCTTTCATCATTATCACCTCATGGTCAATAAAGCTACTAATAGGGGTTGGTTGTTAAAAAAAATTGGTTGTTGTTTAAAAATTTGAAAGAATGGTACGTTTTTGGTCTCTGGGGACATCGAAATGAAAAAGTATATTGGTCCCGGTTCTTACTATGCCACCTACGGTAATAGCTACTTCAAATTCGCTATAATTGTCTTCAGCTGTTCTATAAGGATGAGAAATCTACTAAGGGAATAGGGAGTATGTTTTATCTATGATAATACATCATCTCACTCTGCATTAATATTGTAAAATATGTAGCATACAAAGTGTGTTGCCAACTTAACAGAGTCATATCATTGAAGTGACTAATCTATTCCAAACCAACCTGGTCTGACGAAGTTGAACGCCATAGCTTTGCGTTTTGATGCAAAACGCTCACAATCCTCCACAGTTTGCAGATACGCCTCGTCAAGAGGTGGGGAGGTTGACATCGAGCAAGTGCGAAGCAAAAGGTACCAAGGATCATGTCTGGAATGTGTCTGTGAGCAGCGACGCAATGCAAAACTACTGGAGAACACTGTCAAATATACCAACAGCGATGTGAGGATGATCATAGTTATACTGATGTTGAAATGTCCTTTCTGACTCAAGGTTATACGTGACAGTGATATATCCTGATGTCATAGCAGATCCTGTCAGAGCATAGCTGATCCTATGTGGCTAACATTGTCCTGAATATTGAAATACTATACGGTAGTTGGTCTCTTTTTAATTTTCTAAGTTATAGTTAAACCTACTTTGTTTTTAAGATTGTTAGTATTTTACTTCCTAATCAGTTTGGAAAACCTGAAATTATTGAACAGTCCAGCTAGAAATAAATTGATGAATATAAAAATGTTTTAGGAACATTAATAAGTTTTAATGAGAGATAATGTAATTAAAGATTGAATTTTAATGCTTTCTCTCAACTAAATTACAAATTCACTTACCCTGTGTTTACCTTGTGATGACAGGGTAAATGAAATTAACTCTAATAAAAACACTCACCTCAAATAGTATATTTCGTACCTAGGGCCGAAAATGAGGTTTTGCCGGCTCGAGATAGTTTTTAAGTTCGAGACGAAGTCGAGAACTTAAATCGATCGAGAGCTGCAAAACCATTTTGGTCCGTGGTACGAACGCTATTTTTCACCACACTATACCCTATAACCACTATTCACCACTATAATAATGCACACTGATACTCAACACAACTACAACTTTCAGGTTATGTGAAGAAATGATTTGAGGAATCAGCAAAATAAAAATAAATAGTTGCTAGGCAACGGTGACAATAACACAATTCTATATTGCAATGCTATGGATTTTGATTGTGTATTTAAGATGCATTCATGTTCTAAGTAAGTAAGCGGGCAGCTGATTTTGCGGCCCCGGCCTGTAAAAACCTGCTCGGTCTCCAAATTGGTGACAGCTGGCATGGCCAGCAAAACCTAACTTTCAGCCACCAATTAACGTATGTAATACAGCCAAAAACATCATAGTGTGGTGAAAAGTATGTTTTACAAAACACTTTCATTATTTTATTGAAAGCTGATGGAAAAGGAATGTTGGACTGCAATGGGAGGTTGTTGGGCAAAAATAGGAGAATGCCTCCACTTATCTGCACATTTACTTTTGGGATGTGGAGGAGAGTGTCCTGCCTGAGCAATTTATCTAAAGGTTACATGTCTCTCATGAACCAGAACGAAAATGGAATTGAATTAGAATTGGAATTTTGAAATTCTGTCATTTTACAACTACTAGCTCCACATAACTAATTTTTTATTGTTTAATGTTTCTTTTCTTGACATGAGTCATGATTGTTTGATGGTCATCACTCAGATTTGATGGCAAGCACTATAACTAATTGTTCTGATTTTCAGTCAGTCAATTTTCAGTCATATTTGTTTCATTTTTGTTTCTAATGACAGGGATACAGTACGTGCTATGATAAAGACAATCTACTCCTCTTTATATGTTTTAGTATAAAATATTATATTATATTCATCGTATACAAGATCAAAGCTTCATAAAGCATTGTAGAAAATATTTACTACTACCTTTCTTATAGTAACAGGCTTAAAAAAATAGGGGTTTCTATTAATGAACAATGTACTAACAATAACAACATAATTTATTATTTTTATAAGCGTAGCGAGTAAATTACACAAAAATAAACAACATTTTAGACCAAACGTTGTCAAAAATTTACATGAACACATAAGATACTATTAGACAATACAACATTTGTACTTAGCAGAACTAAATGTTTCAAATACATAAGTTAAATTACCTATTATTTACAAATAACTCAAATAATGAGGTTTTTGAAAATAAATAATAAAAATAAATTTTCCTTATTATTTACTGCTACAAATAAATTTTCACAATACCTACATTTCATAATCAGAATCTTTGATTTTCCCTTGCTTGTGAATGAACAAATAAAATTTAAGATTCATTATATAATTATATCTAGTTTTAGAATTTTATTGAATTTAAAATGTAAATGAGTATAACATGGCATTAGGATAAAAAATAAAGGATATAACATTATCATTATTCATTTGAGTTTGTAGCTTTTTTGCTATTGTTATAAATTAAATAGAATAATGATTCTCATTCATTCAAGTAGCTTTTTACATCTGACACAAGATTAAACTTATCTATTTTATAATAAATCCCTAGGAATAAAATTTTTAAATTCTAACAAATTTGCTAATTTATGCTTTTCCTACCATCTATTCTATTGTCTTCTTTACTAACTATTTAAAGTTTATCATGTTATAACATATATTCACAGAATATCCTATACTCTAATACGAGCAATGTTTGCTTGTATGTATGTATGCTTGCTTGCACAAAGATCTCGAAAACGGTTCCGACGATTTTCTTCAAATGTTGTAAATAGTTTAATTCTGGCCTAAAAACGAGTTTACTGCAGTTAGAACAGCCAACAAAAATCTAATTACGTAGAAAAATGAAACTGAAAATCACATTTTTTTATACATTAGTCTTATGGGTTGCTAGGTAACCTTGTTGGCTGAATTAAATAACAAGGAAAAAGTAAACAAAAGACTTGAAGTTGTAGCATGTGTTCATAATAAGCCAACTACCCACAGTATACTAGCAAATTACAAATACAGTACAAAAGGAAAAACACCATTTAGCAAAGATTATACTGAAGATTACTCGATACATTGTCTATGATTGTAAGGGTAGCAGTGAGAAGTCTGGGATCTGTTTATGACGATTAGATAAGGGTATGGGCAATCCAAAAATGCTATGGGAAGGGAGGGAAACAGGTCAGTGACGTAGGAAGTGGCGAAGGAAGTAGTCAAGGCGAGCTGTCCGGAGTGTGGGAACTGTTTATGACGATTAGATAAGGGTATGGGCAATCCTAAAATGCTATGGGAAGGGAGGGAAACAGGTCTGTGACGTAGGAAGTGGTGAAGGAAATAGTCAAGGCGAGTAGTCCGGAGCGTGGGAACTGTTCATGACGATTAGATAAGGGTATGGGCAATCCTAAAATGCTATGGGAAGGGAGGGAAACAGGTCTGAGACGAAGGAAGGTGTTAAGGAAGTAGTCAAGGCGAGCTGTCCGGAGGGTGGGAACTGTTCATGATGATTGGATAAGGGTATGGGCAATCCTAAAATGCTATGGGAATGGAGGGAAACAGGTCCGTGACGTAGGAAGTGATGAAGGAAGTAGTAAAGGCGACCAGTCCGGAGTGTGGGGACTGTTTATTACGATAAGATCAGGGTATCTGCAATCCTAAAATGCTATGGGAAGGGAGGGAAACAGGTCCGCGACGTAGGAAGGTGTTGAGGAAGTAGTCAAGGCGAGCTGTCCGGAGTGTGGGAACTGTTTATGACGATTAGATAAAGGTATGGGCAATCCTAAAATGCTATGGGAAGGGAGGGAAACAGGTCCGTGACGTAGGACGTGGTGAAGGAAGTAGTCAAGGCGAGCTGTCCGGAGTGTGGGAACTGTTTATGACGATTAGATTAAGGTTTCTACAATCCTAAAATGCTATGGGAAGGGAGGAAAACAGGTCCGCGACGTAGGAAGTGGTGAAGGAAGTAGTCAAGGCGAGTAGTCCGGAGCGTGGGAACTGTTTATGACGATTAGATAAGGGTATGGGCAATCCTAAAATGCTATGGGAAGGGAGGGAAACAGGTCCGTGACGAAGGAAGTGGTAAAGGAAGTAGTCAAGGTGAGCTGTCTGGAGCGTGGGAACTGTTTATGATGATTGGATTAAGGTATTTGCAATCCAAAAATGCTATGGAAAGGGAGGAAAACAGGTCCGCGACGTAGGAAGTGGTGAAGGAAGTAGTCAAGGCGAGTAGCCGGAGTGTTGGAACTGTTTATGATGATTAGATTAAAGTATTTGCAATCCAAAAATGCTATGGAAAGGGAGGAAAACAGGTCCGCGACGTAGGAAGTGGTGAAGGAAGTAGTCAAGGCGAGTAGTCCGGAGTGTGGGAACTGTTTATGACGATTAGATTAAGGTTTCTACAGTCCTAAAATGCTATGGGAAGGGTGGAAAACGGGTCCGCGACGTAGGAAGTGGTGAAGGATGTAGTCAAAGGCGAGCTGTCCGGAGTGTGGGAACTGTTTATGACGATTAGATTAAGGTATCTATAATCCTAAAATGCTATGGGAAGGGAGGAAAACAGGTCCGCGACGTAGGAAGTGGCGAAGGAAGTAGTCAAGGCGAGCTGTCTGTAGTGTGGGAACTGTTTATGACGATTAGATTAAGGTATCTGCAATTCTGAAATGCTATGGGAAGGGAGGGAAACAGGTCAATGACGTAGGAAATGGTGTAGGACGTAGTAAAGACGAGCTTTCCGGAGTGTGGGAACTGTTTATGACGATTAGATAAAGGTATGGGCAATCCTAAAATGCTATGGGAAGGGAGGGAAACAGGTCCGTGACGTAGGACGTGGTGAAGGAAGTAGTCAAGGCGAGCTGTCCGGAGTGTGGGAACTGTTTATGACGATTAGATTAAGGTTTCTACAATCCTAAAATGCTATGGGAAGGGAGGAAAACAGGTCCGCGACGTAGGAAGTGGTGAAGGAAGTAGTCAAGGCGAGTAGTCCGGAGCGTGGGAACTGTTTATGACGATTAGATAAGGGTATGGGCAATCCTAAAATGCTATGGGAAGGGAGGGAAACAGGTCCGTGACGAAGGAAGTGGTAAAGGAAGTAGTCAAGGTGAGCTGTCTGGAGCGTGGGAACTGTTTATGATGATTGGATTAAGGTATTTGCAATCCAAAAATGCTATGGAAAGGGAGGAAAACAGGTCCGCGACGTAGGAAGTGGTGAAGGAAGTAGTCAAGGCGAGTAGCCGGAGTGTTGGAACTGTTTATGATGATTAGATTAAAGTATTTGCAATCCAAAAATGCTATGGAAAGGGAGGAAAACAGGTCCGCGACGTAGGAAGTGGTGAAGGAAGTAGTCAAGGCGAGTAGTCCGGAGTGTGGGAACTGTTTATGACGATTAGATTAAGGTTTCTACAGTCCTAAAATGCTATGGGAAGGGTGGAAAACGGGTCCGCGACGTAGGAAGTGGTGAAGGATGTAGTCAAAGGCGAGCTGTCCGGAGTGTGGGAACTGTTTATGACGATTAGATTAAGGTATCTATAATCCTAAAATGCTATGGGAAGGGAGGAAAACAGGTCCGCGACGTAGGAAGTGGCGAAGGAAGTAGTCAAGGCGAGCTGTCTGTAGTGTGGGAACTGTTTATGACGATTAGATTAAGGTATCTGCAATTCTGAAATGCTATGGGAAGGGAGGGAAACAGGTCAATGACGTAGGAAATGGTGTAGGACGTAGTAAAGACGAGCTTTCCGGAGTGTGGGAACTGTTAATAACGATTAGATTAATTTATCTACAATCCTAAAGTGCCATGGAAATGGAGGGAAACAGGTCCATGACGTAGGAAATGGTGTAGGACGTAGTAAAGGCAAGCCGTGTGGAGTTTGGGAATGGATCTATGTGTCTCCAATACAGTACTAAGACTGCTTTCAGAGTGGACTAATGATTTCCCCCGAGCAAAGCTCGGTCCCCAGGTACTGATGTGTTTTAAGAGTAGAACACAAGTAATAGTGTGATTATTGTAGTTTTAAACATTATTTAGAAATACAGAAATTGTGTGCAGCATTTCTTAAGTAAGAAACATACATAAAATATGTGTCTCATAAATAAGACAGAAGCAATAGTTTTAATAACAGTGCATGAAATATCCTAACAATTTAAAGATGGCAGTGTCTTTAAAGGCAGAATCAACGAATCAACCTATATTTTACACATTGAAAATATGGATGAATAGATTTCTCTTTAGGATCAGAATGAAAGTACAGTATATGTTCAAACAGTGTTTTGAACGAGGTTTATCTAGAAAAATGGTTGTTAAAAATTTATATAAGTACAACTATTTGTGATTCATAAAATCTTACATACAAATTAATGTCTAATTAAATAAAATATACAAAAGCCAAACTGGGGAATCAAACAATACATTTGATGACAGTATTCAAACATATCTAGGTAGGAATCAAATGTGACATTTTTTCATGAATGTTTTAGCACCGGTAGCTTACTTTTTCACACCGTCGATGGCTTGAACTACATCAGCGAATATAACTTCCGGATCTCTTTCCGAGTCAATCTGAAAATAATAATGTAACTTTTATTATTTACAATAACAAGTGGGAAGCTAATGTATCATAGTTTGCTGTCACAAAAAAAATCTAGTGGGTATTAGACCACAATGTAGATTGAAGTTAAGAAGGCAACAATCTGGAATAGCTCATAAGAGACCAAAGAAGAAGGAGCATTCAAGCAGTGGACACCAGCCCTGAGTGGACACCCATTTCCATTTCCATTTTTTTCCATTTCCATTTCGTTTTGTCATAAGAGCCAGAAGCTCATTGACTGCAAACCCGGTACCTATAATCAAACATACCCGGGCCCCATGATTTAGGCCGAAGCATACGCACCGACCTTTGGCACACCATGGGAGGATGACTTAAGGTCATCAGGCTCACCGGCTGCCGAAGCAACCCTTCGGAGAGAGGGTTGCCCCTCAATTCTAACCAGGGATACCGGCTACTTGTTTAAGCGTCACTCCACCTGGGTTCCCCCAGGTACGAAACCCAGAAGGACCATAGTGGAATGACCTGGCACATTTAGTGCAAGCAACACTTGGGACCTATCCAATCCCTGACAGGCAGAACCCACCATCAAAGCCAGGAAGAAGGGGACCACCAGCAAGCTAATAGGGGGAACCCCAACCACCTATTTACACCACTACCCGATCGAGGCCCTACCCAGTTGCTGGGAAACCAGAGGTGACCAAGGCAATAGATCCCTGAACATCCCCAGCGGGCTTGAACCCAGCACCCGATCTACTTCGTTTGCCCATCAAGCCCAACATCACTGCCAGGCCATCAGGGTTTCCCAAAAGGAGGCAGGAATAGAAGTGGGTCCCACCCGGATGAACCTATCCACCAAAGGTGGCGATACCCTTTGCTCAATTGAGGTTCCAGGGAGAACCCCCCACACTCTAGATAACCATACCTTCCAGTCTCAGAGACAGGGATTGGCTGATGGAGTGCGCCCAGCCGTTGCCCTCACACTGCGGAAAGTTACGTTCCCCTAGAGTGTCCCCGTGAGCTGACGGGTACTCGCCCGATTTCACCTCCAGTGGACACCCACCATTCTACCAAACACTGTGGTCCCACTCCCACTACTGAGTAGAGGGGAGGGAAATGCTCTTAGTGGGCTGGATGGTTGGCTAAGCCAAAAAAGGTTGGATGGTTGGTGTGAGACCCACAATACCTTCAAGGACTGAGGCTGTGCGTAACTACATTTTACATCTCCAAATAACAAATTACTAAAGAGAGGAGTATGTGTACACAAAGCAGGATAGTTTAGCATCTACAGCATATGATATGTACTGAAAATGAAACACATTTTGACTTCAGATTGTTGTTGGAGACATTTTGGTGATGGGACGATGTAGTCGCCCTCCCAGCAGGTGCACAACATGGGAGGAGGGGGGAATGTAACACGGGGCTAATTCTGAAACAGCACTTATACCTCGCAAACTATACTCTAAAGAAATATGGTCTAAATAGCATATTAGTACTCCCATCAACAACTTTCAACAATTTTTGTGGGAAAAATCTGCATCTGTGATATAAATTAAACAATTCAATATTTTGTGAAATTACTGACTGCTTCTGGTGTAGAAATCTCTTAGACCGCTTCTAGATGTACTTTGACATCTGACAGTTTGTTTAAAAATAATTTTTATTTTTCAATGATCGTTGCAACAGGTAGCAACTCATCAATAAACACTCTTTCATATAAAATCAGTCCCTCACCTCCTTGACCTTGGACGTGTAGTTGTTGATGATAGGGTCGCTGTGGTCGTGGAAAGTTTTTAACCTCTTCAGGATCGTCTCCTCGTTGTCGTCTGTGCGACCGGATGTCTCGGCTCTCTTGAGCAGTCGCGCTTTCAACGTCGCGTCACTAGCCTTCATGTACAGCACTAGGTCGCAGGGCTTAATCTACGGGAAACAGTGGTCATGGTCAGTGGACGAGAAAATTGTGTACCAGTTGACATCTTACAACAATAGTTGGCAAATACAGTTTTTAGGATACCGTAGTTAAAGTATTAAGGAAGAAAGACTATCATCTCAAATTGTAACATGTGTATAGATTAATTTATTTTAGCATAGAAATCTAATAGTTGTAACTATTAATTGAGTTATATATTAAGTAGACGGTATTGTCCTTCTGGACACTGGACAGTTGTGCAATGTAATTTATTGCACTGTTTCTAGTGTGCTGTGAATATTTTAACGCTTTTAACCTCTAGGTTGCAGCTCAGGCTAGCTTAGGAAATTAGCAATTTTTACAAATTTTAAGTCATGCCAACACAAATTGATATAAGGTTGAGGTATGTTTAGGTTACTCTTAATTTCTAAAATCATGAGCCACATAGCTGGCTTTAACTAATTAGAATCATCACATTTTTAAGGACTCTAAATAAATATCTAGAAAGAACCAAAATGAGAAAAAGTAAAAAATAATATAGAGTGTTATGTATGAGGAAATCCAAGTAATTACTCAATTTAAGATACATTTGCTCTTGGTGGAAAGCACTTATTTATGGAGAAGACTTATGGAAAGAACACTTGTTTCACAAATACATACATGTCTCATGTGTATATACATGTCATGTGGTGTACATTTGTCTACAAACTTACACTTTTCTCAAACTCTTGTCCCTGTGCCAGTTCTCGAGGGTATCCATCAATGAGGAACCCATTTGAGGTTTTGACTGTAGCAATCATCTTCTCTGCCAAGAGGGCAAGGACAACGTTCTGAAAGAAATAAAGATAACGTAGAATAACTTAAGGAATAAGGTACAGTAAATGATAAACTTCCAATGGATTCTGAAGAGAGTGATCTCAAACAAAACTTTTGCTTTGGGAATCATACTAATTTTATTCTTTGTCATACTGATCAAATCAAGGCAGTTATCATAGAAGGCCGCAGCGAGACAAAAGTGGCAACACTGCTGTTCCGTCAAACCGAAACAGCTGATTCACTAAATAAAGGAGAGTATAGACGTTTATGTTTACACTTTTGTTATTACAGTACCATGGCAACAGGCATGACGTTTCGACGTTGCCACACACCAACGCCACGGCCTTGTAGTAGAGGAGGCTATGCTATCCAATAACTTAGTATCAAGTTTGACCAAGTCAAAACAGACTTGAACCGTTTACTTACATTGATTTTCTGAGTCAACGGTTTCGTATGTTGGTGATTTCTGCCAGACATTTTATCCTTGCTTTACACAGACATTTTCAGTGGGTGAAACTAAAGTGGCATTTTCAAAGTAAGTAGTAAAAGCGTCCAGCACTGTTCTACAATTGAAAATTGACACAGAAAACCACAATGGATGATAAGGACACCGGTCGTGGAAACATACAAATGAAGATTTACCATTGGTACGAGCGCTCCTTCCTTCATGATGGCGTTGAGCGACTTCCCTCTCTCAGAGCCTCCCTGGACCTCGGCGCGGAGGAGATCTCCCGTGGAGATGTGAGTGAAGTTGTACTTCGCAACGATCTTGTCACATTGAGTGCCTTTGCCTGAGCCGGGCCCACCTTAACAAGGCGTTGAAAAGATTACAATAGTCTGTGGGTTGTAAGAATCATGTCAATAACTCTAATATGGGGTTTGAAGTTGGATAAAACGGGGGAATTATTTATTTTTAAGGTTTATTCAATCAGGTTTTGTTTGAGTGGATCAGGACTTTGAATAGTGAAAGAGTTCTTGTACTGTGATATTAGAAGCCATTTTTTTTCATTTTTTTATGTTGGTAACAAGAGTGTTGACTAAATGTTTATCTTTGTTTTGAGGATGGATTTGATGTTTGAGGTTAACCAGAGGACAAGTTATTTTTTACTATTAGATTATTTTATTTGTTTAAAATAGTTTTGAAATGAGTTACGAAACAAGGAACAAAAAGTAAACAAACGAAAACCTTTATGTGAACCAGACAAATTAACTTTGAAATTTTTCAGTTTATCCGTAAAGAGAAGAAATTAATGAGAAAGTATGTTTAATGAATGGTTGGGTATAGTTTGATTGTTTCATTAGAATGATTTGAACTTTCAAAAAGATCCCTAAATTTGGCTAAAATATCAACGCTAACTTTGCTTAACTAACTGTAAGAATTAAGGAGTTTCTAAACAGAAAATTCTTTTGAGATTAGCTAATCTGAAATAAAATAAAATGTCAAATGTAGGCAATATCTTAATTTTAGTTTGATAACCAAAATTATTATGTACAATAAATTCTACCTCTAAATAAATGAAAATTCTAAAAGTAATAGAAATCAGATTAAATGTTTTGAAATTTTAATTTTGTGTCTAATAAGATTTTCTAGATAACAAATTCGAAGATGTTAGATTTAATTTTGGCTTTTAGGCTTTCCCCTGTAGGTAAACTAGTTGTGTTGTGTTCAATAGTTTCTATAAACCTTATACCATTACCAAAACCTTGATTGTATCCCATCTCTGGATAATCGTGTAAACTGCATTTTCACATACATTTACCCTATTTATTTTTTAAGTTAATTTAACAAAATAAATAAATTTTCCGTAGCCAATATATTTAAATACTAATTTTGATTTATGTATCCATAAAAATAATTAAGAACTGTTTACTTTTCTCCTATTTTTAAGGTATTTCTGACACATAAATAAGTGTTAATAATTTAATATTTTAGTGATAATATTTTTTTGTTAATTAGGTGGAGGAATTTGTGTTAAAGAACAATAGTAGGTGTGAAGGCAACAAAGCATCTATTTTCAAGTTTCAAGGAAGGTGAAGTTTTCGGCCCTCACCCAACCAACATTTGTATCCACTCCAGAGGTCTTTGCCAAACATTTATAACCGCAGCTTCTCTGGCATGGCCAGTTCATTAAAACGGTAACTCGAGAATTAGAAGGAAACTTTATGACAATACGGTTACAAAAAATTTGAAAAATGTTGATTAGTAAGAGGTAATAAGCAATGTAAATAATTATAATCTAGTCTAATGCAATATAAGCATACTGTACACGGCTCAGTACCCAGTCAAAGTTGCAATATTTACATACTTCAGTATTTTAGTATCTCACCAGAATTTTAAGTAATTCAAACTCAAACTTTGTCAATGAATATAGTTCAAAGCAATTAAAGATGCATGAAGTAAACAGGCTTAAAAGTAGCACTTTAAAATGTGAGTTTAGTAATACAATACGTAATTTTATTTAAATATATTGTAGTTTTTCTACTCAATGTTTTAATCAGCTATAGAAAAGTTGCTGGCATAATATTATTTTCAGTTCATAAGGAAAAATATAGTAACTTGAATGGACAATGTTCTACGATGGGGTTTGCTGCAAGTTTTGTAAATTTGGTAAAGTTATTTAGCTTATTTGTTAAAGTTAACTGACACGTATCTTAACATGTACAATCTAATGAATATAGATGGATGAGATAACTTCAACCTTATTTTAAAATTAAACTATACACAGGGTGATAATCAAACTCTACTGGTTTTAGTGTGTAGACAATCATAGGCAGCCAAGCTAGCTTCCTATTTTTGCCTTCATTGTTTAAAATTTTTTTCAAAAGATATATTTGAAGCTCTAAACAAACGTAATATTTACCCAAGACCCAGATGACTAGTTTATTGCTTTCCCTCAACTCCTTGAGTTGATCATCAGAAGGCATGGTGTAGTCCTGTGGAAAATAAATAAATTAGCCACTATTAAAAAATGATATAATAATACTGCAGCAAACTCAACTAGACAACACAAATTTGAAAAACAAAATCTTAACGAAAATTTCAATTGATTAAATTTTTATAAAACAATCTTGGATAAAAATTGGTTATAAAGTCAAAAACTGTTCATTCTTTATAGTATTTTTAGAGAGGTACGTTGTACCTTCAGTATCAAATGGATAGAACGAGAAAAATAAGGAAGTTACGCTGTAAAAATATAATTGATCTTGTAAAAAACTGAACACAGGGAGTTTGGGTTCAAATTCTGCCAACCACCAAAGTAATTTCACTATACTTAAACTAAACCAACTGCTTCAAAAATGTTAATTCACACAAACTATTTACAGAATGAGTGTGTTGATTTCCCAAATCCTCCCAAAAATATTACCATTTAAACTTACTTCATTATACATCTCCGCCGAAAATTACACCTAATTCATTCTTTACTAACTTAACCAACAAATCACTACTGTAACACTGAAGTAAAACCTAATAGATAATTGAAGAGGAAAACAGTATTTGAAGAAGGCTAATCGTTATCACTTGGCGATACGGTTAAACCTCCAAATGACTGTATTATCTTAGTGATAACCGCGAAAAGGAACAGTCACACTTACCATTGTTGAGGCTGCCACTACTCGCTGGCTAGGCACTGAAGTGGGATAGAAGCGTTAGCGCTAGTCTATATTTACCGTCCTACCACAATCCGCTAGTGTTTAGGCCTTGTTGGCTCCGTCTCTTTCACTGTTTTGTCAATAAAGTATCAATTAAGGTTCAAGGTGGGGTCTCATAGTCGTGTTGCGTGCTTAGTGTCAGTTACCGTTTGGTAATTTGTCGTTGAGGTTATGAATTCAGCGATTGATTAAGTGATTTTGTTGAGGTTTGATTTATTTGTTTCAATCAGTCGTAAGAATTGATGGGAATTTTATTGTGACGAGTCAAGTTTTTGTTAAGTAGTAGTTTTTTACTCGATGGCGAGAAAATGGTCATGAAATATATTTCTAATTATGATGGGAAAAATCACTAACTAAATTTAACAGAATAAAAGTATTTTACTATTTGTGGTTGAATTTGGATCCTAAACCTTTTTCATGGTTCAATTTCACTAGAAATAAATCAGCTATATTTAATTGCTCTATGTTAATCAATAAACGTTTTCTTGTCTGTAAACGTAAATAGCTTTGACTAAATAATGTTCTAGTATAATTCTTTGCTGTAACACTTTTACACATATCGTTATTTAGAAAAATCACTAAGTTTTTTTTTTAATTAGTTAAAGCTAAAGCAAGTTTTACAATTGTATCTTATTACTGAAATAAATTTTTTAACACCATAATGATTAAATTTAAAATAAGTAAAATATTTGCCTGGGTATTTAACGAATTCGTCTCGCAGTACGGAGCTATTTCATACCTTTGTTGATTTCGTACTCTTCTTGAGTTTACAACTCATTATCGACCCCATCGTCTATATTATGCAATGAACCTTTATGAATCACTATATTAATATTTTTTTCAGATAGAACATCAAACGTTTTCTAGGTTAGCTTTAAGTGATGTTTATTTACAAGTGATAATAATAAGAACAAAACAACTGATCATATTAAAAGAATTGATTTTGGTTTAGAATCGAAACAAAATATACGTATAAAAAATCTTGGAAATTTGTATTCAGCAAATTGACTCCTAAATATTTATTTTTATAGGCATATTGGGTATCACTTTAAATATCTTATCCTCTAGATGAGCCTTTTGTTGTTTTGGATGATATACCTTTAAAGCCCTTGGTTCTATAGGCTTTAAAAATTTAAGAGTTTGTGCTGAATTATTGTATTCGAAATTTTTCAAGTTTCCATTTTTTGACATCAAAACAGATGGCCATGATACAATTTTGTTTACATACATATGAAAATGGTGTTATCGTTACAGTTGGTGATGTTTTAATGAACTCAAGTAAAAGGTTATAATGTTATTTTTTGTATAAAATGTAAATAAGAAAATGACTTACGTTAGATTTTGTGTTTTGATAGAACTTCGTGTTTTCAAGGTATGTTTTATTGATGTTTTAGTGAATTCAAGTAAAATATTGTAATCTTATTTATTTGTAAAGTATCTCATACTTTGACTCTAATAACGTAGTTATCTACAGTAGAGTGGTGTTTTCAAAATTAAAGTTTGTTTCACTTTTTTATGTATGATTTCATATTGTATTGGGAAAACTAATTACAAAGTTATGTTCAGGGATTGCTTAAAAAATACAATGAGAAGTTAATGATTATTACGTAAAAAATAGACAATTTCCTACTTAACTCAGAGCAATAGAAAATTGTAAATTATTCAAATATATCACGGATTTTGAAGTAACGAAGTAACACTGGCTACTAGTATTAATTATTTTGACTTTTCAAAAGAGCTCATTTTTGGAACCACGAAACCATGTTTATTATTTATAGTTTTAAAATATTTCTAAAATACAAACGCAGTGTTTCGAACTATTTACAATCATAAAAAATAACCTTTAAACATTATACTATCTAGCAAGAGAAGTACTGTAATTCTAACACAAAGTAAAGCTGAGTTCGTTAGTTTTGTTTGCGAAGATTGACCATTGTTGCCGGGGGCTTCGTGCTCAAGTGCACTAAATTAAACATCCTGAAGCCATTTTATAAGTCCACTCTACGCCTCGTCAGTCAATTAACTAGATCAAACAAGTTCCAACTCGCAAACAATTGTGGTTGTCCTGTACAAGAATGCCATGTACATTGTAAAACTTCGTGTTGACTTTAGGTAGTTTTGTTTAGACTTGTTATATGTCAATATATCTACTGATAAAAATGTTTCTAGTGTTCTGGATTATGTTCTGGTTTTCAATAAATGGTCCTGATCAATGAAACAGCTGATTTTAGTCACTAACAAAGCCACATTTCAACCATATTTACGCTACATTCACGAGCGTCTCACTTAACTTTTACACAAATATTAAAATTCTTGTTTTGAAACTTTAGCCCAATACTAAGCTTGAATGCACTATAAGCACCTTTAAAGATGAAACTAAATTTACCCTATTAGGATAACATAATACAACTAATGTACTATAGTTATTTGTGTAACTAGTGTGCGAAGTAGCACTTTGCTGCACATGAGAGAAATGTTTACGCACGAGTCGCAGGCGAGTGTGGAAAGTTTCTCGAGTGCAGCAAAGGCCTTTGTGCTGGTGTTATACATTATATTTTTCCTACAGTTATAAAGCATAGAAATGATTAGTCTTTCAAACATTAAACACCTTTTAGGATAGGTTAAATCGTTTCGTTTCGTTGAACGAAATGGGAAACACTTCACCAGCTGATCGTATTCGTAGTAGTATATTTAAGTGTTGCCAACTTATTTTTAAGTGTACAGAGCTACGTTGTATGGCCGCCATTTAATAAGAAAGTATTTAAGTGCCTAATAAAAGCACAACTACGTTGTTTTTTTTTTGTTTGGTTTGAATTCTGGACTGTAGCAAAAGTAAGTAAATGCAAAATTAGCTACTTTACGTGCTATAATCAGTACAAGAAAGCCAGCTTTGTCAGGTAACTGTAAGGAAATAAGATTTATTGCTGGGAATAAGCTACGTAAAAAGGATATTAAAAATCTCTTGTTTTTGCATAGAAATGAAGGGAAATTGTATTTACATTATTGAGAAAACTTTTAATTAAAAGTATATTGCTGGATGACAAAATACACGTTTCACCGATCTTTTTGCATAAAACTGAAAAAAATTGAATGAAAAATGTTAATTGGCTACGTTATAAAGGGATTCAAAAGAGTTCTTTTTTGGATTTTTTAATACAAATCGGTTACGAACCTAATACTATTCGGACACTACCTTACTAAACCATTCAGCGTAATAGAAAATTTGGTATCCAAAAATTGAAGTTTTTTGTTCAAATATCTCCCCAATCCTTCCCAATCCTCCCCAATCCTCCCTAATCTCACCTCATAATCAGCTAGGTACCAAGGTTTGACAGCCAGGGAGACGATCGGTTTTCCGTGTAGCCTAGGGATGAGTCTTAGCAGGAGAGGCATTTTGATAACAAAACCAAAAAGAAAACTTTCCCTGTACTCACTTGAACAACAACTGATCAAATTCATGGTGAGAGCCCAGATGCACTTTGCCCCCCGTTGCGGCAAGCTGCACTTCGAACAACCAAAACATCCGTGTTCGGCTCTCACGTGCAGTGACTAAGACTGAGTTTTGATAAGTTGCACGTTTTGATCGGAATTTTATAATGGAAATGTAATATTTCGTAATTTGAATGATTAAGATGTTTCCGTAAATTTTCCTAGAATTGTTCGAGTATATTGCATTACTTGGGTTAGTGTTTAGTACAACAGCTTCCGACACGCTTTTAAATTTTAAATAATAATGAAAATTGTCTGGTTATGTCCGTATGTCTGTATGGCAATATGGCCGTATGTCCCTTCAAATGGGACAATGCTGAGCACACAAAATAAATATAAATGAGCATGAGTAGAAAATGCACTTTTTCGCTACACTACTGTGAAATAACCTATTTTCGTTATTTTCGTTACATGTTCATCACGTACGAAAATGCATGATTACATTTTTTACTACGGCAAGAGAATGTTTACTATGCGAAAGTAATGTTTAATATCTTTTTTTTACCATGCCGACGTAAACAAACAAATATTTGTTATTGTTTTGTCAACTGTTTCAATTTTCAACAACCTAAATTGTACAACCAATTTAAATACTAAATTCAAATTGAAGATATAACCTAACAAATGATATGATTTTTGTCATGTTCCTAACTGTAATGAAGAAATACCCAATGTCTGGTTTAATTAAGAAAAAATATCTTTGTAGTGAAGCGAAAAGTAACGTTCAAAACACGAGTGAAAGTGGGTCTATAGAATGATATTCTCGACCATATGTAAAGTGCTCGATAAATCTCGCACCTCAAACATTATGAAATATACTATTTATACATAGTTCTGCACCATTCAGTAAACTAAACACTGATAAAGAATAATGTTTTGAATTTCGTTGACGTCCTTTAAAAAATGATATACAGTACTATGAGAATTAAATAAAACCATATAAAAGTCATTTAGAGCCTTTTAGGGGAAATTAGCTAAAGGCTTACAGGGTTATCATTCTAAATAACAGTTACGGGAAAAATGTTAAAAGTATATTCACATCCAATGAATGAGTAAGATAAGAAAATTCCCATTCAATTGGAGCTTGGACATTGTATAACGTTACATGAACTAAGTTATTAAGTCTAAATATAAATGTCTTGTCAGTTATAAAATCTGACCTTCCCCGACCCTCCCACACTACGTTATATAGGTCAAACCTTGACCTCTAAAAGCTGAGGGGAAATGTCTATGGTTTTGTGTGATTTAATATTTACAAAATACATTTGTAAGTTTATTTTGTAATTTTTTGGCCAATCTCCTTAGCATTTCAGCTAGTGAATAAGCTTTATAAGACACGAATCCACTAGCTTTACCTAACTTATAAATCATCTTCTAATTAATTTTAGCTTGATCATAGTCGTACAGTAAAAATATATAAGGGACGATCGACAAATTAGTTAGGCCTATTAATAAACCTAAAAACGGAACTGACTCTAAACCTATAAATATCAATACACAAAAACACCAACAATCTCAGTGTAAAAAAGGAGATAAACAACTCCACAAGACATAAACAAAAACCATCAACATGACAACCCACACACACAATGTTATCTAAAAGGTCATGAGTAATCTGTAGGTCAGTTATTGGCACACGGGCCACTCTAGTCAGTGGGTAAGTGGGTGTTAGTCAGTTAGTCAGTATTTATAAGGTAAGTCACCTCACACAGGGCGCACACCGAGAACAAAAATAACACCACTATCACCTCAATGTTGACAAAATCTGATGGCAACAGTGTGGTCGATACGGACTTGCGCGGCGCCTGGCAGAGATTTGGGGAACTACTTTTTTACTGCGGTCCGACTTGGCGACTCGTTTTGCAAGGATTCCGCTAATATTTAAGTGCAAAAAACACTGGGAGTACTTCGTGTGGAATAAATGAACTTGATACGGACGCAGTGTATGCAGGAATTCATTTTTCAACGTGGGAACTATGTAAATAAATATTGTGTATTGACATTTACTAAGTATGATGTTTACCATTTACAATAATCGTTTATTTAAAATATGGTCGTTTGTAAGAGAACTCCCAAGTTTGAACACGTGTAGCACTACAATAAACTATCCACCAAACTCTAAATGACTTATTAATGCATTGTGGTAATGAATTGAAAAAAATTATTCGATATTGTAATATTATGCTGTTAAGGGCTACGATGTCAAGGACGCCTCGCTGAAAAAATTAAAAATTATTTGAAGATAGAAAGTCTGATTGAGATAATAAATGTCTCGATAGCTCCAAAGAAATTCTCAGTGATTGTCTTGAAAATGATGCATAAAAGAAATTAGTATTAAAGTAACATAAAATTCAGGTCCGTGAAGTTAGCCCCCCCATAAAAGCACTAACAATAAAACTAGTATTAATAGTTAGTGCTTCGTTAGTGCTGGTTAGTGCTTCAACTCACATCGTTAGTGCTCTTACGGTTCAGGAGCTATAACCAAAAAACTGTGGGTTAGTTAGTCAAAAAACGGAAGTTAGCCCCCCCCCCCAGTAGTAATATGTGAGCACTAACTTTCAAAACTGCACCAACGGTTAGTGCTGGTTAGTGCTTCAACTCCCATCGTTAGTGCTCTTACGGTTCAAGAGCTATAACCAAAAAAACTGTGGGTGGGGCCAACTTCACGGAAGTTAGCCCCCCCCCAGTAGTAATATGTGAGCACTAACTTTCAAAACTGTACCAACGATTAGTGCTTCGTTAGTGCTGGTTAGTGCTTCAACTCCCATCGTTAGTGCTCTTACGGTTCAAGAGCTATAACCAAAAAAACTGTGGGTGGGGCCAACTTCACGGAAGTTAGCCCCCCCCCCAGTAGTAATATGTGAGCACTAACTTTCAAAACTGTACCAACGATTAGTGCTTCGTTAGTGCTGGTTAGTGCTTCAACTCCCATCGTTAACTTCCATTAACTTCCATTAAGTTGGCCCCACCCACAGTTTTTTTTGTTATAGCTCTTGAACCGTAAGAGCACTAACGATGGGAGTTGAAGCACTAACCAGCACTAACGAAGCACTAACCGTTGGTACAGTTTTGAAAGTTAGTGCTCACATATTACTACTGGGGGGGCTAACTTCCGTGAAGTTGGCCCCACCCACGGGTTTTTGGTTATAGCTCCTGAACCGTAAGAGCTCTAACGATGGGAATTGAAGCACTAACCAGCACTAACCGTTGGTACAGTTTTGAAAGTTAGTGCTCACATATTACTACTAGGGGGGGGGGGGCTAACTTACGTGAAGTTGGCCCCACCCACAGTTTTTTGGTTGTAGCTCCTGAACCGTAAGAACACTAACGATGGGAGTTGAAGCACTAACCAGCACTAACGAAGCACTAACCATTAATACTAGTTTTATTGTTAGTGCTGTTATGGGGGGGGGGCTATCTTCACGGACCTATAAAATTCATCTAACTTAACCTATATACTTCGTATGTCTACGATTTTAAAGTTGTTTGGTATGACAGTACTTCCAACTGTTTTGTTGTAGTTTTTCTGGTATTATAGTAAACTAAAATAGAAATTCCTATTACCACACAAAAGAGGGGCCAACTTGGCATTTATTAAACAGACTAGTGCACGAATGAACAGTAAGAAAATGAAGTAAGGTTGGTTTCTTAATTAGTTTATTATCGACCCAGTTTTATAACACCACTGGCTATATGTAAATTCACCACTACCACGATATATATGTAAAATATGTTTTCAACAGAAGTTTACTTACCGTTATAATTTTGAGAAATAGTACAGATTTATTATCTATCAGTTTACCTGTGATGAATCTTTGGGAATGTCTCTTTCTAAATTAGCAACCACGGCGAACACCAGGCGAATTCCTATGTACACTGTCCATACGTGGAATAGGCACATAGGCCTTCTGGAAAACATTAACACGTAATATACTTACAGCCAAAACTACTTTATGTGAATTGTCTTAGTAAAAGTACTAAAATTGTAATGTTCTTAAAGCAGTTTTTAAAGTTTTGTAAGTAGTTGGACGATGAGGGATGCAATAAGAAATTGAGTTGAACCTTAGTTGATAACAAAATAGTTTTTTTCATGAGTTTCTTGGGAGAATTGTGATGGAATCAATACAATCAATGGATACAATATATGGAATCAATATATAATGTATTCTGGCCATTGCAGGTTGCCAAAAAAGACCTTGTTAACGATGTTAATCGTGTTAAAACGTGAATGAATTTATAAAATAAAAGGATTACCTTATCCAACCACAGTAGCTGGTATGACAACGAGTTTCGTTCCTTAGACCTTCGTCAGGTCATTGTATGCAACCACATCATCAATGTTTTAATACATTGTGGTATGCCAAAGGATTCTTTAAAACGCTGTTAAAATCACATTAGTAAGAACTAGTTATGTTGATCAAATAATTATAATGGAATAGAAAGTGATAAAACTGTTCAAAACTGTAAAGGCTGGCCAGCACTGCCTTATCACTGTCACTGACGAAATAAAATTGACTGAGTCATAAGGTGTCTTCATCTCTCCAGTGCCACATGCATTTCAGTTTATAAGACACAGTTAATACATTGATGATGTGGTTGCATACAATGACCTGACGAAGTTCTAAGGAACGAAACTAGTTGTCATACCAGCAACTGTGGTTGGATAAGGTAATCCTTTTATTTGATCAATAATGTTTTCCAACCGAGCATCACAATGAATAACATATCGAATGATTAATATTTTCGTGACTGATGGATAAATCTATCATACATTTACTTGTGTATTCTTCTCTATCTCGCCAACTAGTGAATATCTAATTAACTATACTGTTAAAATACTTTTATTCTAGCCTAGTTATGTATTACAGTTAAACGTGTATAAAGTGTCAAGTGACCTTAACTTTTCCTGTATCGATAAACCAATTTTCATTTCAATTTCGAC